ATTTATTTATTTATTTATTTATTTATTTATTTATTAGACTTATATACCGCTTCATAGGGCTTTCAGCCCTCTCTAAGCGGTTTACAGAGTCAGCATATTGCCCCCACAGTCTGGGTCCTCATTTTTCCCACCTCGGAAGGATGGAAGGCTGAGTCAACCTTTGAGCCGGTGGGATTTGAACCGCCGAGCTGCAGTTAGCAGTCAGCTGAAGTGGCCTGCAGTACTGCACTCTAACCACTGTGCCACCTCGGCTCTTGCAATGGATTTTAATTTTTGTATTTAATTTTTGTATCTATTATTTCCTTTTATTCTGTTGGTTTACTATCCAGAGTCACTTGTTGAGATAGGTGGCTTTACAAATTGGTTAAATAAGTATATCAGAATAAACCAGAAATTAATTTATAGGAATTAATTTGCAGACACATAGTAGGATGGTTGTCATGACTAGGATATAATAATCTAAGCATATAATTTGTTCAAAACAGGCAGAAGCAAAAAAAAAAAAAAAGAGGAGGGGTTTCCTATTCAGAAATCCAAGGGAATGAATTTGATTGTAGAAACCACATGTGAAGAAATGAATAAAAATAATACTGTGTTTGATGTCTACTAAAGTTCACATAGACACAGGGAAGGTGTGGGTGGTTTTTTCAAAACATAATTGCAGAATTTTCAAAAGAATATGAAACAGTAGTGATGGAAATTTTATCTCAGCATCCTTTGGGAGATGAATTTTGCCAAGCACCATCCTACCATTGAATTTCTGATTTGCCTTGCTGAAATCAAAGAAAGGCACAAGAGGAGTAGTTACCCTTGTTTAATTGTGATAAAGAAAATGCCAGGGGTAAAAGGACATCTTAGTAACAAAGACCAAGGCATCATTTCATACCGCACAGAAGACAATGGAAAATCTCTCCAAAGAAAACGACAAAGATAAAATAATATTAAATGGTTGAGGATATAGTGCTGGGTGATCTGGTTAAATAGTGCTCAACAAGCTGCTGAGATGTAGCTGAGGATGTTTTGAAGTACTAATGTAGTTTATGATATGGCTAGACTAATACCTTCAAGACTTTAAATTGCCAATGTTGTCATGCCGAAAAAGAAAAAAACAGTTTTGAAATTTACAAAAAAAAATTAAAAATGCAAAATGCAAAGCTTCAAATAAATTGTTACATGGAATGTATGAAGCATGAAAATGGAAAAATCAATACAAGGAAAGATGAAATGAATTGATGATACATTGACTTAAGCTACAGCAAATTGAGATACACTGGAATTGAACAGACAGAAGATCATATGTTTTACTACTTGGGACATGAAAAAGAAAGAACAAATGAACAATTTCATAATTAGGAAAGGACAGTATTTGGTACAATGCAACTCATGATTGAATAATATCAATTAGTCTTGTGGGATATGTATATCAGTTGCTGAGTGATGATGGCAAAATGCTAGCAGGTGAGGCAAAACTACTCAGAACCTGTTAATTTTGTCTCCTTGTGTCAGCAATGTAAATGGAAGAAGAAATATCATTCAGAAAACAGATTAAGAAAAGATTATTATAAAGATTAGCAGTGCAGAAGAAGAGGAGTTGTTAAAAATACTTACATGTCTAACGTTTATGGAACTGACCAAGGCAACTCTTCTGTATATCCATACAAATAGCATTATATACATACACACACATCCACATTCAAAGGCATATTTTATATGGAGCTACATAAAATAACCTACCCCAACTGTGCTGTGCAGATTCATTGGACTTCAACTACATGACCTACAGCCAAATCCTACATTCCCATTTGGGAAGATTGGTGTGAAGTTTAAGTGCTGAGAATGTACAGAAAAGAATGTTCCCACTGACTTATCACCATGAATTTAATCTTTCAGAGACTTTAGCCTAAACATCACAAAATTCATTACCCCTGAAGAGATGGGATCTTGAGCAATCCCTATAGTTTATATATAGAAGCCTCTGTAGACATCTCAAAGCAGTTTCTTTCTTTTAATCATTTCCCTGTGGTTTTTCAGTCTATTTTATCCTTTGGGGCCAGTTTCTTAATCCCGAGCAGTTGAACTGTGAGACTGCTGGGACATTTCAATTCCTGGAATTCTGAAAGCTCGCTAAGAAGGATTAAGAAGCAGAGAACAATGGCTTCCATTAAGATATTTTATGGAAGAATTCTCCTTAAATATTGCGGATGGTAGAGTTAAAAAGAGATACTATCATACCATGCTATATTAATTCTGTGACATAAACCAAGGTACAAACCCGCACATTATAATACTAACCATGCCACATTAAGACTCTGCTTTTTGTACAATTTAAAGTGGCATGGTTTAGTCATAATGTTATAATGGTTGTTTCATATATCATGCTAAGCCTAAAGTAAACAAACCTTGCCCTTGTGAATTAGCCCATGTAAAAAGTCCAATTTATTGTCACACTACAGGCATAGGCTATAATCCTTGCAAATAGAAAGTTGGCATCACATTAAGTATTTAAAAATTGAAAGGAGTAGAATATAATCATTAATATCTTAGCACAGCCATGTGGAAGAGATGTCATATTTTTATTTTTTAATTTTATTTGCTATAAGTAAAAAGCACATTAAATGGAAAAAGATACATTGATATATATCTGAGAAAAAAAGGAAATACCTTATTTCTTTTTCTCTTTTTTATGAAGCATTATAAAGCCACTGATTAAATGTTAAGACAGAAATATATTAGTCCTTTCACTGCATCAGTGAAGAGCCAGGTAAGGGTTGAAAGTGAACATATTTTAGGGTTATTTTTTTCCCCAGAAGTAACTTGCAACACCTACAGTCTAATATATCCAAGATTGTTCATAAATGTTCAAATTGTATATTAATAAAAATATAAATTTGGAGCTAAAATGAGCCATCAAAAGCTCATAGATCCAAATCATATATATTAAGATGCTTCAGATCTGTTTACATCTCCAGCACAAAGAATGGAAAGCCATTCCATAGAGCCGAGGTGGCGCAGTGGTTAGGGTGCAGTACTGCAGGTCACTTCAGCTGACTGTTATCGGCAGTTCAGCGGTTCTAATCTCACCGGCTCAAGGTTGACTCAGCCTTCCATCCTTCCGAGGTGGGTAAAATGAGGACCCGGATTGTTGGGGGCGATATGCTGACTCTGTAAACCGCCTAGAGAGGGCTGAAAGCCCTATGAAGCGGTATATAAGTCTAAGTCTAACTGCTATCTTTCTTAAATAACCAAGCATCCTTTCCTGAAAAAAGATGAATGTATTTTAAAATACACCAATCCAGTCACTTAGAGAAGGCCATTGAAAGTCTTCCCTCCATTTCAAAGTACATGTGGCATGGATAAGAATAGAATTGAATTGAATTGAACAGAATTGAACAGAATTGAATTGAATAACAGAGTTGGAAGGGACCTTGCAGGTCTTCTAGTCCAACCTCCTGCTTAGGCAGGAAATCCTACAACTGCTTTTCTCTGTGGTTGCCCCCACTTCTGGAATACTCTTTGTTGTTAGATATATAGGGCTCCTATTTTTCCTATGTTCCAAAAATTAATTAAACTTGTCTTATTTTAGCAAGTCTTTGACTGCAACTGATTGATTGATTGATTGAAGACATCTGTCTTGGCTTCTGCTAGGAATTACCCAGAGACCTTCAGAACTGGTTATAATTTCTGAAATACATATAAATAGCTATTCTAGGTCTTTTGATCATTTTGTCCTTATATAATAAATTAAATGACCTAACGATGCCATTAATGCTAGGATCACTCCCTCTGCAGAGGTGCTGTCTCCTCATGTTATGTATTTAATAGTCTGCTCTGCTTTTCTGCCTTTATGATACTTTCAATCATTCTAAATACCCCATGCAGAGATGGAGCTTCTTAACAATATTTTATGTCAGGCAGAGGAAGGGAAAATGGTGCTTTCAATCACTATTCTATCTTCATAGCAATTCTATCAGTAGGCTGAAATATATTAGTCTGAGATCATCCAGTCAGAATTCAATGGCTAGAACTTGTCTTTCTTTACTTTTATTCTAATGCTTTATCAAGCTGATAATACTGATGGGAAGCATTATGTGGCTGGCATTAAGATTCCCTTCCCCTGCAAAAATTAGAAATGCTTTCAACAAAAAAGAAATGGTTATAACTACTAGATTTTAGTGGCTGTAAGACTGGCATACAAATTGCATAAAGAAGGCAGGTTTTTTATTCTGCGCAGAATAACATAGTCCAACATTTGTATTTGCAATGTGATGTATGTGTTACTTACAAGATAGCTCTGAGATTAGGAAAGTAGCTCTCACATTTATTAACGCAATTTAAGCCATTTAAAAGAAAGTAGAATAGATATTCTTATTAAGGATATATGTATAGTTTTTACTATTCAAGGTGTTGATATTATTCTGTACAATCATTCCTTACCCGGTTATGAAGAACTTGTTTGGAAGTAGGCTGTTCTTAATCTTACTGGCTGTCTTTCACTTTCTAGATTCTACCAAGAAATTGAGAGATGTTTTGGAAGAATTTCATGGGGATGGTATTCTGTCAAAATATAATCCAGAACAAGTAAGGAAACTTGAATTAACTGTATTCATAAATGCCTATTGACAAAATAAACTAGCTATGCAGATTTCTGTGTACAAAATTCCCAAAAGATCTTAATAACATTTTCAGGATAAAATGGTTATTGAATTTTATGTAAGCTTTTTAAATTATTCAGACCCTAAACCAGTGTTTCTCAACCTTGGCAACTTGAAGTCCAGACATCTTCAAGTTGCCAAGGTTGAGAAACACTGCCCTAAACCAACACTACATATGCCTTTTTACATCAGTTTTTAAAAGAGGTGTGAGTAGATAAAGTGATTTTTATTAGCCCCATAATACAAAAGAAGGAAAGTTTTTTTGTGAGATTAATAGTAACTTCTGGGAAGTGATTTTTTTAAATTGCTGAATGGGAAATGAAAAGATAAAACTACCTCCCTACACAGGGAGCAAGAGTGCAAACATCCACCAGTGCTTAGCTTAAGTTATTTTTAATTACAAGATATTTGCTAAGGAAAAATACATTTGGCATCATGCCCAGGGTAGTGAGAAAGGGAACGGTAATTCATTTTTGTATGAAAATTCTCTCAAAATATTAATCAAAATCAAAAGCCAAGATCAGGCTGACATTTGCCCTGTTGATTTTCCAGAAAACTATAAAACTATTTATTCTAAAGAACATTCAAATAAGATTTGTAATAAGTTGCAAGATCCTCCTTTTCTGGTTCCTATATTGGTGTAGTTCATCTGCTTGTAAGGCTGTTCTAATCATAGTATAATACTGGATATAATATTGATTTGTTTTAATCTTCTTACATGGAGTGGGAATTTAAGCTGCTCACAGGCTATGAGAGTAGAGCAGCATAAAAATCCTAGTAATAAATAAATAAGGATTTCTGACAGTCTGCAGTCCATCTCTGCTCATAAATTAGCTCTACTGGATTTAGTGAGAAACAAATCCTAACGTTTTGCTATTGGATGAGGCAACAGAGTTTTAACTGTTCTACTTGGAAATTGGAAAACAAATAGCTGCCTTATACTAAGGAGATTTTTAAAGTCGCATTTATTTGTTTTTAATTATTACTGACTCTTAAATGTTCAGGGTGGAGAAGCCTATACATTACAGGAATGTTTCATAAAATCATTTAGTCAAAATGCATGTCATTTACAACATTTTAAAAGTTATGCCCACTGTTTTCTAAAGATATATAAAAGTGAACTACAACTTAATGAATAAATATTACATTTGAGTACTGTATCATTAGTTTATGCCTAGGTTTTGTCTCCCCTCCCCCTTACGTTTGATATATTGAAGTATCGCTATTTACTTTTTCAAAATGGCACTTAGAACTTAACTTGGTGGTGGGAGTAAAAGTTGAGAAAGGCATAAGGATGATTCTGTCATGTTGCTCTTTTTACTAAGATGAAAAAAAGGGGGGTTATTAAACATGACAAAATGAACTATGTCTTCATTGCGGTAGGAAAGGGAAATTAGCAAAAACAACAGTGAGTTGTTTCCAGGTAAGAAAAGGAAGAAAACTGCAGAGCTATTCATGAAGACAAATTAGTCTAGAACTGAATGTTATTAAATTAAATAGGAAGTGAGGACAAATTATTTCTGTGAAATTTTTTGACACCTAAAGTAATTGGAAAGACAAGTCAACAAAAAACTCAGCACAAATTGCAACCACATTCCTATTTAGAAAAGTAGTTGTTAGGCTCTTGGAAGCGAGCAGGATAATGTTTGTGAGTGGCTAGAAGTTGTGCGTTCTGCTTTCTGCCAAGAGCACATACTGTGGTTTCTCTTCTGCACTAAGCAGTTGATGTAAGTATATTTCATTACTATCCACTTAGAAATATGGTTGCATTTGCCATTGGGTATAACAACGAAGTGCCTTTAAAATCCTTTGAAGATGGATTTGCTTTTCTGGGGAGGATGTAGAGGAAGCAGACCAAAAAGGAATATATAAAGAAAGAGAAGATATTTTCATTGAGGTCTTTTGTAACCTATACTTTTTATTTGTTTAATCATCCTCCCCTCCCTACCCCTTAGAAATAACTTTACAGTGGGAGGGAGGAATAATCCACTGCCCAGAATTATACTGATTCAGCCAAGTTTCCTTTTTCATTTAAGGAAGGCCAAAAAAAGATAGTTCTTTGAAAGGAATAGCCATCATTGTTGACAGGCAAATTAAAACATTGTTTCAGATAGCAGATTACCTGTCACAATAATCACATTGCGGCTGCCTCTGAAGTAGAAAAGATTGTAAATTTTTGAGTGCAAAGTGAGGCAGTATGGATATACCAATAGTATCTTTTTCCTCTAAGATTTCACATACAGTCCTGGACCAAATAGCAAAATATTTTTAATTTTTTGCGGGCAGTTATCTTTTCCAGATTTAGATGCAATCTATTATTTTATTTTCAACTACCTTTTATTTTTAACTGCACAAGACCAGTGTTCATTTTTTGTTCAATTGTATTATTTTATTTTTAAGTATTACCACATATACCAAATATATTGATACATATTTGTACTTTCGGTGATTTTTCTTGCTGAATTTCCAAATGCTTACCTAATTCAGTGAAAATCTGGCACTTTTGATTTTGAGCCAGTTTGAGGAAAGCAACTTGCAGAACAAAATGATTTTTTAAAAATCCCATCTTTATTATTTTTATAAACAACTCAAGGCAACGAATATACATAAATACTCTTTCCTTCTCCTACTGCAGTGGTTCCCAAACTTGGCAACTTTAAGACTTGTGGACTTCAACTCCCAGAATTCTCCAGCCAGGAGAATTCTCCAGCCAGGAGAATTGCCAAGTTTGGGGACCACTGTCCTACTGTGTTTCCCCAAAAATAAGACAGGGTCTTATTTTCTTTTAACCCTCAAAATAAGTACTTGGCCTTATTTTCAGGGAAGTCTTATTATTTTTGAAGTGCAGGAGGTGGCAAGCGTGGTCACCTCACGGTTGCTGCTGTGTTGCAATATTTTGGAAAGGGCTTATTTTCAGCGGAGGGCTTATTTTCAGAGAAACAGGGCATTTTCCTCACAACAATAACCCTGTGAGGGGAGTTGGGTTGAGAGTGACTGGCCCAAAGTCACCCAGCCAGATTTCATGCCTAAGGCAGGAATAGAACTCTCAGTCTCCCAGCTTCTAGCCCACTGCCTCATCTACTAGGCTGAACTGATATTCTGTAAAGAAAGCTTATATAAATTCACAATACCAACAGCCCAAATAAATTTATCTCTACTTTCCATGAAGCCAATTGTACTGTCTTTTCTAAACTATATAATGAAGATGTTAAAAAAAGAGCTTTCAGAGACTATTTAAATACTTGAAGCCAACACAGATAAAAGGGAATTAATATTTAAAATATTCATATGCTACCAAGCCATACAACAATAAAGATTGGAAGTCAAATCAATAAATAACAACAAAAATCATATGCAAGTCCCAGGCAAAATAAAAGTATTCTTAGTTACATGTTCCATTCATTCCAACCTTCTTTTACTGTAGATCATGACAGGAAATACTAGTCCCAAAAAAGTTTAGATGAAAATTATGAGAAATTACAACTGTTTAATAAGATAGAGCAATATTGTAAACATTGTAAAAATATTGTAAAAATCTAATACTCACTAGATTGCAATCCTGGGAATAAACTCTACTGGATTCCCCGTCCTGAATAACCTCATGAAAGATTTTGCTGTTTGCTGCAGATCCAGTTCTATAATAGGCAGAGTAAGAAAGATGGCTTTGATGGCAAATAATGAGGGGCAGGGAACAATGACAAGATCCATGAGGTGCATACAACCTGCCTTCCACCATATAATTTAGCCTGTTTCCCTCAATTCCAGTTAAGATTCTTATTTCTCACCTCACATCAGATCCATGTGTTAGTCTGGAATTAAGAGAGGTACTCTGTGTTGTTCTTTGCCTCATCAGAAAATCAACCTGAAGCAGCATACTCTCTTACTAACCCTAATTAAACTCAGATAGTGTTAATGAAAATAAACAGAGATAATAGATATTATGTTCAAAGCTCTTTGACAGAAGTCCTAGATACAAATATAACAAACAGACAGACAGCATGTGTGCACACACCAGTGGTGGGTTTCAAAAAAATTTAGAACCTCTTTTATAGGTGTGGCCTGCTTTCTGGGAGTGGCTTGTGGCCATGTGACCAGGTGGGAGTGGCTTGTGGCCATGTGACTGGGTGGGAGTGGCTTGCCAGCCATGTGGCTGGGTGGGCATGGCCAATTTGTAAAATGTGGTGAAACTCACTTAACAATGCTCTTGCTTAGCAACCAAAATGTTGACTCAGAAACTCTGGCATTTGAAGCACGCAAGTCTTAAAGCTGTCAAGTTACAAGATCCTTGCATCCCTAACCCTTTAGAAAGAAGCCCAAGGGATGTTCAAACTTGACAGCTTTAAGACTTGTGGATTTCAACTCCCAGAATTCCTCCTTCAGTCATGTTGGCTCAGGAACTGTGTGCAAGTCTTAAAGCTGTCAAGTTACAAGACCCTTGCACCCATAACCCTTTAGAAAAAAACCCAGGGGGTTTCAAACTTGACAGCTTTAAGACTTGTGGACCTCAACTCCCAGAATTCCTCCTCTTGCTCTTCATCTTGATGATGTGCGGACGGGCGGGGGAGGGAGCTGGAACTGGTTGTAAATGGTACTGTTGATTTGTGGAACCTCTTCTATAGAAGAGGTTAGAACTGGCAGGAATCCACCCCTGGCATACACACACATTTCACTAAATCCTTTGAACAGAAAGCTCTTCCTTTCAGAACTTTTTTGCTATCTATCAACTATTTGCAAATTTCCCAAGCCAAAGACCTCATTTAAGATCTTGTAGTAGAAGATATCTTTTCATCTGATGGTGAAGTTTGAAACAGGGATACTTCAGAACAATGTGTGCTTCCAAGTGCCTTCTACGGTGGAGCACTTGGGAAAGAACTGCAGTCTAATTCTTCCTGGATACTTGAATTGTCTTTGTCCAATGGAGTAGCTACATTTCAATGCGTCTTCACTCAACTTTGCTTTGTCTTTCTCTGCCCTTTATTCATGCCCTCAGAAGCAAGACACTTTGAACCAAGTAAGACTTGTTTTCCAACTCAGGCTCTCATGTGTTGTGCTACCGTATTTGTTGCTTTGTATGGTTGCTTTGGCATAAACTAAGATTTCCCTCAAATTATGTAAGTTTATATTTATAAGAAATTTAAATCTGCACATTATTAAACCCCCTAAAATTAAACAAAATTGCTTATCCTGGAGAGCAATAAATCCTTAGGGAGGAAAAAAAATATATAATCCTTAAAATTTGAAACAGCCCAATTAGAATGAACCTATTGTAGCCATAAAATACTTCAGAAAGAAAAATCAGGAAAATGTTTATTTGAAACAGAATGGAATATATTGTCATGGGAAAACTCATGACTGATAAAGATACTCCAAGCGTTATCCCAGAGCATTGGGTCTGACTTGTTTCCCATTCACCCAAGCCACAAATAATGAAAAAGAATTTTGTGTTGTTTTATTTGAAAACTTTTGGGAACAAGTTAATTGGCAAGAAAAATAAAGAGTCAGTGGAATTTTTTTCAGTGTTACAGGATATCATAGCATATAGCATATCAGTCCAGTTATTTGGACAATTGAATAGAGTAGTGACAGTAATGCTTGCTAACTGTTGTTAATAATTTAGATTAAACATTGCAGGGAATATAATAGGCTTGTGTCAGAATTATGAATTACTGCTACCAGTAATAATTCACAGAATGAAAAACTAAGAGCTGGCAAGAGCAAGTTTTTGGCAGCTCTGTTAGCTTTGATCTCTTCTGCTGCCTGACTTATAACTGCCCTACTTGTTTTTAAAGCAACTTTTATTATGAAGTCACTATGAAAATTGTGGGTTTCCTGTTAACAGGAGTGCCCTGTCTTCCATCAGCTACCTTAGAACTCAGCATAGGGGAAAGCTCTCAAGAGTCCCAGCAATTAAATGTGGGCAAGGTGTCCTTGTTTGCCAGATGGCAAGCAGGACAATGAACAGAACTGAGTACATCTGAAATGTGTGTGTTTGTGTCCTCTTGGACAAAGATCAAATACTTCTTTGGCCAAGCCCATTCTATCAATGTCACCAAGAAGATTTCAATACATTTGTCAGAATTACTTCCAAAAGTTTATGCTGCTTTGCCTTTTGTGTTGATGCTCAAAGAACTTTAGTTGTGTTGCTTTTTGAGGTTCTACCTTCACCACTGCTACTGTTGTTCTGCATATATGCATGTAACCCTGATTTCAATATGCACATAAGAAATGTATTACTGTGCTTCCTTGTGGCATACTTAAATATAGTTTGTATTCCTGAAATATAATGTTAATTACATGTATTATAGCACATGGGAAAGAGGTGACATATCAGTATACAGGTAAGCTGCAGCTCTAATGAATACCTGTAGATGGATTTCATGATCCATGGGCTTGCCACAAAAAACACCAGATAGGCCTCAACATTCTGTGCATAAAGTTATTCTCTTAAATTTTAAATGCATTTTTTTCTTTCTTGGAATAAACCTTGCTTCAGGCCCGTGAAACTCAGTGCTCAAAGAACACCATCAACTGATCTCCTCTGTGTGTGTGTGTGTGTGTGTGTGTGTGTGTGTGTGTGTGTACAGCATATTTTAAATGCCAATTGATTCATAAGACAATAGTGTTTACATGGCTTTTCAATTAACAAGGAGATCCTTTGTCCATGTTAATCTTCAAATCCAGGAGATTAAAGATTGCATTAATCAGATGTAATCCCATGCTTTATTCCGGATACTTTTCCCAACAGTTTTTTGACCCATCGGCATTGTCTAATGACAAGGTTTTTGACCTGTTAGGTATAAACTACTACCTTAACAGTTCTATTTATTTGTTTCTTCCTTGATTTTTTCTTCTTCTGCCCTTCCTTCATCTAGCTCCTCAATTGAAAACCTTAATTTAAAATGGGGAGGAAATATAATGGTAAGATTTCTAACATTTAAAAATTAATTTTAAAATAACAGTTGTGTCTTTTACTTCCCTCCTTCCTGTTAGCCTATTGACTATGAGGGGTTCCAACTTTTTATGAGAACATATCTGGAGGTGGATATTCCAGAAGAGCTCTGTGAGCACCTCTTCATGTCCTTCAAAAGAAAAGTTGGCCAATGTTCTCTCGAGAACCAGCAGCAAAGTTCCAGTATTTCACAGCTGAGCAACCTTGGTAAGCCCTATTTTGTATTTGCTGCTTCAGTTCTCACAAGTGTGGAAATGGCTGACACTGGAATATTTTGAGGTGTCTTTCTGGGCAGGTTTGACTCCCTAAAAGAGTAAATGGGGTCTGTCACTTAATGATACATTGTTTAATATCTTCTGCTTAGGGTCCTGTTATGCCCATTCCAGGAAATTCTGTTCTATTTAGTTTCTTTGAATTTCCACTTAATGAAATGGGCATTTTAATCCTCATTGGGCTGTGTTTTTCCCCTAATATTTTTTATCACAAAAATATTTTCATAGATAGCATCCACATTCAATGTGCATGGCAGGGATGTGTAGTCAGGGGAGGCAGGGGAGGCAGAGCCTCACCACTGTCATAATGAAAAGAAAAAAAATGTAAAAGGAAAAAGGCGAGAGCTGAAGTCAGGCTGAGCTAGTTGCTGCCAGAGTCACCGTGGATGACTCTGCTTAGTGCTTAACTGTTTAAAAAAGCCTCTAAAAATGCACCCTCTACAGGATGAGGCAGGAGAACGACGAGCCTCATCTAGTCTGACTTTTTATGATCACTCGAGCAGAGTTAAGCAAGGGTTAAAAGCCGAAAAATTCCTGACGTAGATGAGGCACGTCATTCTTCTGCCTCCTCCTGTAGAGGGCACTTTTTTTAGAGGCTTTTTTAAACAGTTAAGCAGAGTCATCCACGGTGACTCTGGCAGCAACTAGCTCAGCTTGACCTCAGCTCTTGCCTTTTTCCTTTTACATTTTTTTTCTTTTCATGATGGCAGGCAAGAGCAGAGTTGAAATCCTCTCTGAAACAGCTGGAAAAGGTAGGTGTGGGTCAGAGGGAGAGGGAGGAATTCAAACTTCATCCTCCTGGTGCAGGACTTTGGGCAAAAGCTGGAGGGAAGTGCTCTCTCTCCCCAAGTGTAGTTTGATTGCAGGCAGAGCCATGTTGTCTTTTCAAACCTGTAATCAGTGAAGCTGGGCTGGATCCTTCCGGGGCTGGGGGAAAGTGTGTGTGCTCCAGTATGGCTCTTTGACTGGCTTCCTGCCTCCTCCTGTGGTCTCCCTGACTCCCTCCAATCCAATTTTGTGTGTGTGTGTGTGTGTGTGTGTGTGTGTTTGAGGGGGGAGGGAGGGAGAGGGAGGAAGGAGGGGAAGGGAGAAGAAAATGAAAAAGAAAGAAGGAAACTTATTTAGCAAAGGAGAAAAACAAATGCTATCACTTTAAATCGGAACTGAGCATGCCTGGCCGTAGAATTCTAGGAGTTGAAGTCTACAAGTCTAAAAAAATTGCTGCCTCACCAGCCATAAACCTCACCGCACGTCACTGGTCCATGGTCTATCTTTTCTGTAGTTGTGTAAATGGCAAGGTAAATTAAAGTTATTTGAATTGTGAACTGAACAAATGATTCAATAATCATTTTATCACATATTAGGTTCAGATGCAGGGGCTTGATTTGAGAGACCCATATCTTTGGTTTTGTTTTAATTAACTCCTTTTCAGTGTTCATATAAAAGGGAAGGTGTGTATGTGTATTCTGGTGTTTAGGTATTCATTCATTCCGCATGTTTCTCTAAATAATGCTTTTTATCAACTAGATCTGCTTTTAAAATATATGGCATATGGAAGGTAGTTTGTGGCAACACAAAAGGAGATGTGCTTTTAATAGTGTCTGCCTGTTGGGAAAGAGGGCTTCACTGGTCTACTGAAAGGGGAGGAGAAGGATAAATAGACCTGAATGCAAATGACCACTTGTGACTGCTCTTAAATACTTTTAAACAACCATTGTGGTTCAACAGCACAGTGGTGTTGATGTTGGCTGTCTCAGCATTTCTTTTACTACACCTTAGCAAGTAAGACTGGTGGTGCTGCAGTGCTCAGGAGGAGCATCTATGACATAGTAAGCTACTTTCTGGATAGGGAAAAAACAAGAAAGCTTGAGGAAGCTCTGAACCAAGCTGAGGAGATTGATAGGAAGACAGAAGGAAATCAAAACAAAAACAGCCATCTATTCATTTCACCCCCTGCCCCGCATCCCTCTGCACGTAGAATCTCAGTTCTATCAGGAGTTATGAACAGGAGTAGCTGCCACATGTGAGCTCCTTTGCCCTGACAAATATCATGCATCCATCCCCGTCTTTCCCTTCCCAAAATGCTCCTACTGCTATTCCCATGATGGAGCCAAGCCAGGCTAAGCGAAAGGTCTCCCCACATAGTCAGGTGCTTTGCTCAGCTAAGGAGGAAGCAGCAACTTTTCTGCTCTGTCTCATAATGTGCTGTGTTATGCTTCCCCACAGTTGATTGGGCTGAAATTGTTTCTACAGCAATGGTTTTAAGGCTAAAGCAAAACAGTATGTAGCTGCAGCTCTGTATTCTGCCTAAATATGTATTAGTCTTTTGTGGAATAAAAGTAAAATATGCAATTGCTATTGCAAATTTGCAATGAATATTGATCAGTTGATGGCAAGTGCCCATTGCTAAAGCATATTGTCTATGTTCTTATGTTTCTTTTATGTATTCAGAATCCAAGACTCTTGATACAGGTATATCCATCCAGACAGAAGTTGCTTGTGCTCCTGTTACAGGTATCTAATATAAATGCTTTAAGAGCTGCACAATCTTTCATGTTTAATAAGGAGCTTTTATGGGCACCAAAAGGCTGAGTTCTATTCAACATTAGTTCCAATACTTTGTTGTCACTTTATGCTGTAAAAACAAACACAAAGCTAGGGACTACCCAGTCCCTGGAATCCTGCACAGAAACATACAACAGCAACTAAGTAAACATGTTAACCAAACAAACCTTGGGTGCCAAGAGATCTCCCATTATGTCAGAGTGGTCTGGCTTTTCTAATCCTTATCCCTTGCCAGGAAACAGTTGCTATGTGGTGATATATCCTTTCTTCAGAGCTGTGTTTCTGATTTTTGGTATCTCCTCTACCATTCTACTTAGATGCAGAAGATAATCAGGTGAAACATAGGAATCAAGAATCAAGAGTTTAATATTTTTAAATATATATGTAATCTAAGTTGCAATCTGGATTGATTGTATTATTAGCGATATGAGCTTTATGAAAATGAATTTGAGCTGTTTCCATGCCACCTTCTTATAGCAAAATAATGCGCCATTTACTTCTCTATTAAATTACTAGATTAAAATTGACACGCTGGTGGGAAATGGTAGGAGAGTCTGCTGGGCAATACAGTAGGTAGGAAAGGCTAGCAGAATTATTACCAAGAAGAGCTTATGCAAGTACAGTAGAGAAAATGGCAAGTTCATCAAGAACAGTACAGAAAAAGTAAGTTCCTCAGAAAAATAAATTAGTAAATTCATCAGAAAAGTATAAGTTCCTCAGAAAAATAAATACAAGATCCTCAATTTTATGTTTTCATCTTTCTCTGACAAAGTGAATAATTTATCATATCAACATCTGTGAAGGGTTTTTCATGTGATATCTATATGAAGTATTAAATAAATAACTTAATCATATCAGTATTAAGAAATATTTTTGCCACATCATTATTGGCAGGCTTCTCTTAGATGACTGGAACTGCCCAACCTTTTTAATTATTTCATTTATATCCTGCCATTATTATTTTTACAAATAATTCAAGGCAGCAGGCATATCAAACACACCTTCCTCCTCCTATTTTTCCCACAACAACAACAATAACAACAACAACAACAACAACAACCCTGTGAGATGAGGAGCCAAGAGAGAGTGACTGACCCAAGGTCACTCAGCAGCTCTTATGCAGGACTAGAATTCACAGTCTCCTGGTTTTCCAGCCTGATTCCTTAACCACAGACAGTCATGATTTATTGGGGTGGGGTGGGGGTTGCAGAGTTTTCTTTGTCTTATGAATTATGTTAAATCTATTTTAAAGTATATATTATTATTTTCATGCTTAGACCCTGAAAAGTGAAAGAAATCACAGCAACCCCATAAACTGCAAAACAGAGTTTCAAGGGATCACATACTATAAAGTCCTAATTAAGTTATTCATGTCTCAGGATTTACAAGGAAATCCTTTCTCTGTGAAAATCTCTTGCATAAAATAAGGTCCAGTTATATTTGGGGCACCAAGGGAATTTACACAACCATCAAGAAGGGCAGCACAGAGGTAGTGTTCTGAGCCATTCTCGCTGAGATGATGGGTTTGGAAATAATAGTCCAACATGGAAAGGAAGCCTCCATCTTGAAAAAAATTAATAGAAAACATCATGTTTTATTATGATTCATTTCATAATTCATAAATCAAGGCTAATTTATCACTCTATTTTAAATTATAGGGATCAATGGGAAACCGCTTCTAAGTGCCATGGGAAGGCATACACCTGAATCCAAACGCCCCCAGACAAGTCTAGCAGAGCCACAATCAACATCTCTCAGTCCTGTTCCAACATCCAACATCAAAGTCCTTGGGAATGCCTCACCTAGCTGGTCCAGATCATCATCACAAAAATCCACTGCTGGTAACCCTTCTGCTCACAATTCCTCAGGGTCCTCCAAGATATCCTCAGGTTCTCTGCTTACCCCACAATCTCCAGGTGAGATCCGCCTTTCTTTTATGGAGGCATTCCTATATATTTTCCAGCCTCACCCATATATAGACATAAAATTCATTTCACAGGTCAAAATCCTAGTATGGGATACACATCTGGTAAAGAAACCTGAACTGGAAGGTGAGCTGAGGTGATGAAGTTTTGGCCTGTCTGAGGGTTCGAGAAGTAGAAATATCTACATTAGACTGAGAAAATGATTTCAAAAGAAATCTGCAGCATTGGCCAATAAATTACTTCCAGTGTGCTCCCTGATTCAAAGGCATTTATCTGCTATGTGGATCAATCATTTTGAAGGAATTTTCACCCAATTTATAATCACATTTTGGAATTTCCAGAATTTCCATTGCTAAGCAAGACAGTAATTAAGTGAGTTATACCTGATTTTATGACCTTTTTGCCACGGTTGTTAAGTAAATCACTACAGTTGTTAAATGAATCATGCAGACATTAAGCGAATCTGGATTCTCCCGTTGACTTTGCTTGTTGGACGCTGGCTGGGAAGGCTACAAATGGCAATCATATGATCCCAGGACAGGGCAACTGTCGTAAATGCATCCTGGTTGCCAACTTTTCATCACATGACAACGGGGATGCTACAGTAGTCATAGATGCAAGGACCAGTCATAAGTCATTTTTCAGTGCCATTATAACTTTGAACGATTGCTAAACAAATGTTGCAAATCAAAGTCTACAGTAATCTTACTGGGATTATGTTATCTGCTGCTTGAGCTCTGCACTTTTATTCCAAGCATTCTGAATTCAGCAGTTTTTGATGATGTTTTTTTAATGTTTGTGAGAAGGGTGGTGTAAGAGTTGCTTCCTTCTGAGTTGTTGTCATTCAAATATTTTATTATGTGGTAAGAGCAGCTGGGACTGGATGACCCAATGTTTCCAGAGTGCTAGTTTATGCCAGGGAGTAAAGGGTAAATAAGCAAGATTAGAATTTACTGGTGTACTAATTTCTTCACCCACACTTATTTCTTCCAAGTCACTTCTTCCTTTTCAGGTACAGGATAGAATCTAATAAATATATTAATCAGCTGTAGTCCACAAAAGTGCATACTGTAACAAAATATTAATTCACACGAGAATAATTTCCTTCCCCCTCCACTTCCATGCAAACATCCTTCTTCCTATCCTGTTTTCCTCATTCTGTTTCATCTGCTGCTTCTCTTCCCTCCCTCTCACCATATTCTCTCCAGGGGCTTACAATTCTTCTCATCCTAACTTCCCCATTGGGCTACCATGCTTTCTTCTTCACTGGAGTTTTAGGTTTGGATTTTTAAAAACACCTGTTAGCACAATGTAATTGTGTAATGAAATACATACCAAATACCTAAATTCTTGATTTGCCGTGCAGAGTCTGTTGCAGCCCCTTAGCTCACAAAAGTTAATTTTGATCTAAGATCCACATTGTAGCTCTAAATCAATTTCACCTAACAGCCTGAACCTGTTTTGAATTATAATCTAAAGAATGTCAGATTACAAAAACAACCTGAACCTTTTTCTCTTCCTTTTAGGTTCCAAAAGTTTGGACAAGAAACTTCCTTTCAATCTCCGAAAGAGTAACATCTCCCTAAAAGCAGCCAGTCCACACCCACCAGCCCCTTTGGCTCAGGTAGTCTACCTGAAGGACATTGTCTGCTACCTGTCACTGCTGGAAAGGGGACGGGCTGAGGATAAGCTGGAGTGTAAGTGCTTGGGTGACAGGAAGAACATCTGTAGTCCTTCAGCACCACGTGCAAAACTATGGGTGCCTTGGTCACAGGTGGCAGGGGTGGAAGGAATGTGGGAGGGTTGTGGTTTTAGAGGAAACCATACGAGCTTCGAGGTTTATAAGGGGGTAAATGTTGAGATTCATATGGGTGTGAATCATGAATGAAGCTGCAACTACTGCCGACCTGACAGTTCGAAAGTTTCCAAACCGAGTAGATAAATAGGTACCATTTTGGTGGATTCGTTAATGGGGACATGAAAAGAGCCCCCAACTGGACACTCCCTTGGGTAACAGTGATGTCACTATTTGATCCTTTCACCATTTTTTTTTCACAGGAAAAAATAAATAAATGAAGACAACAAATTGTTCATTCATTCCTTTCCAGTTAAACAGGAATAGGAACCTATGGATCCCCATGGGCATTGTCGGACTATATCATCAGCTCCAATATGGCCAGTGATGAGTGATCAGAGCTGGAAAGAGTTGTGGTCCATATCAAGTGGCTCAGTATGGACTAAATATTGATTAAACAACATTTGCTTAGTATTCACTGATGGAAGACTTGTTATATTAACCCATAGCTCGTGTTTCTATTACTTTTTCTCTTAGGGGAGAATTTTCAGGGAGCAAAAAAATTGTGAATGATTTTCAAATATTTTTTAGTATGAAATGCTCAAGTTTCAGCAGTTCCTTCTCCTGCTATCACATCTATTCCTCCTGACTTTCTAAAATAACAGCTCATAGGCCACCACAAAAAATGAAATGGGGCATAGGTACTCTTTTAATTTGTTCACATGTTTGGGTGTGGCATTATTAATCTGAAATGTTCCCTGTGTCCTTCCTGATAAGCGGCTTCTACTGTGATTAATCAAAAGGTGTTTGTGGTAGCATTTTTATTATGTGGCAAGAGCAGCTGGGATGGGAAAGTCACTGTTTTCTTCTCTAGCTGATACTTTAATAGAAAGGAAAGAAGTTAAGAGGTAACACTACGTGTACTTTAAAAGCTGCAGGTGAGCAATTCATGCATCAGTCATCAGCTCTGATGAAATACCAGTTCAGTGATGTAATTTCAAATTCCTCAGTTAGGACTTACCAGCTTCCTTATCCTGGAAGGTAAGAGTGTTTTCTCAAATAAGTAGATGTGTGTTGAGGAGTGGAATGATAGAATATATGAGTTCAAATAGCTATAAACATTGCTTCTACTACAGTTGTGTTGGGAGTACTGAAGTGCTTCCAGATTGAAAGGATTCAATAGTGTCCTCACCATTGCCCAGGGGAGGCCCAGTTGGGAGCTCTTTTCACATCCTCATTAAGTTGGGTATTGACACGGTATGCATTTATCTACTCACAGTCGTCCGCTTTCTAACTACTGGGTCACCCCATCCTGCAGCAACAACCAGGTCTCGAATGCAGGCATGCCGATCATCAGCCCAGGGTCCTAATCTTGTGAGCCATCATGTTCCCACAAGTATTGCTGAAGACCTAAGACCTTTTAAATTAACTGCTTAAAAAATAAACCTAGACCGTGATTTGGAAGGGCAGCTCATCTGATGAATTTTAACCCTTTTTGTAATGTATAAACAGACCTGCTTCTTTTTTCTTTACACTTATGCTTTCTCCCCATATTAGTATAACTCTCAGTTTTGTTTTGCTTTCTATTTTTCCTCACCTGACTTCCAGCCTTATTTTGGAGTATGGCTACTAGTGGGCATGGTGTTATGTGAATCTTTTCATTGCAGAAAGGACTTTCCAGATACAAATGGAGTTGGAAGTCCTAGGTGGATATAATAGGGAAGCTATTTAGCACGCAGGAGTGGTTGCCTGTTTATAACCTTATTTTTCATCTCCTTCTTCCTTTGTGCTAAAGGAAGCTAAACTGAGTCATTTGCCATTTAAAACTGCTAGTTTATAAGCCAATCTCTATTAATACAGCAGAGAACAAATTAATTATGAGATATCACTGTGGAAAAAACCCAATGTCATTCTCCCACGATCATCTATGATCTATCCAGATGTAACATTTCAAATTGAATGGTTCAATACAATCTCTTCAGTCCTCATAGCAGGAGTCAAAATGTGATGTTGAACATGCCCTTTAGATTGGATGGAACATTTCTAGTTCTAGGACCGGCCTCTGTGTAATTGCGTGTGGTGATAAGCAAGGATATTACTTTTCCTATTTGAAGTGATGTTGAACAAATGTTGCTTTCTTTTTATGCTGTTCATATCCTAGGACAAAATCATACATCTCTATTGGTCTTCTTGGTTCCGTTGTTACATATCACTGATTTTATGAACTGAATTGTCATATATGTAGCAGAGAAAGGAGAAAAATAGCTTTAAAATGAAATTTGTTATCTACATGTTACTTTTTGCAAAATATAAACTACATACATTGAGAAATAGTGTGTCGTTTTATTAACCTTCCTGAAAATTGTAAAAGGCTGCCCTCTAGTGCTATTTGTTAAAGTTTTCCATTAAAGATTAAGAATATATTATTTAAATGTAATACTATGTACAAAAAAACCAAAGAAAAATCCTTAAACTTGAAGGATTTGGCTGAAGCCAATGTAAAAAGTAATCTAAAGATTTTTTTTCTTCTAAAAGATCAGTTACATATTTTAAGAATGAACTGTGTATGATTATAAGGAATTAAATATAGAGAATATTGATGACAATAAATTTGGCACAGAGACTTATTCTACAATTTTGGAAGCAACACTCAGAGATTAAAATTATAGTCTATGCAGCATAAGACTCATTTCCTCAATTTGAGTGGAATTGGATGACATAATATCCAACCAGCTGGCTGAACTTCATAGATACTGTAGCCAAATATACCATCTGCTTCTTTGTGGAAATGCATTGGCCTTAAGATTGACATGGACACTGCCATTCACGTTATAAATTCATGGGTATTTTTGATCTACTGATTTTGGTATTCTATTTACATAAATATATATTAAATCAGCTGTTAAGCATCTTCAGTGCTGAATATAGTACTTCAAGCCCCATATACTGCAGCAACACCATATTGGGGAAAACTTGCCTGGTTTATTTTTAACTAAAAATGAAAAAAAAACACCCCTCCAATTTTCAGGGACCATTGTCAAACTGCCAACTGCCATAAAAGAGGGGCTGGAGACAACTCTGATTTACTGAATACAATTCATACTGATTCTTAAGGAACATGGATGTGCGTAAAACACAATTGCAAAAAACTAATTTCTTGATCTCTGGTCAGTCAGAAAGTAGAAATATAGCTATGTAATGCCAAGTTGCCTCCATGGTATTCCAGAATGCCAGCTACGTGCTGGGCAGACTTGTTAAGTAGTAATTTAGTCATCTAGTTTTACAGAAATTCCCATAACATGGGGCAGAGACATGCCCTGGCTCACATCTGCAGGGTTAAGGTCCAAACCCCTTACTTTCCATTAGAAAGAAAAAAAATTGTTTATTGTAAAACTAAAAGTTAGGAATTTTAGCCAGAAAAAGTAGCCTTAAAAATTGACTGACTAGAATTTTCAGGATCATCTGGAGGAGGGACCCAAAAATAATTGAAAATTAATATTTTTCAATCACATATTCATCATATGAATATGAAGAATATGAAGAACGGTTGCAGGAACTGGGTATGTCTAGTTTAATGAAAAGAAGGACTAGGGGAGACATGATAGCAGTCTTCCAATATCTCAGGGGCTGCCACAAAGAAGAGGGAGTCAAACTATTCTCTAAAGCACCTGAGGGTACAACAAGAAGCAATGGATAGAAACTAATCAAAGAGAGAAGCAACTTAGAACTAAGGAGAAATTTCCTGAGAGTTAGAACAATTAATCAGTGGAACAACTTGCCTCCAGAAGTTGTGAATGCTCCCACACTGGAAATTTTTAAGAAGAGTTTGGATAACCATTTGTCTGAAGTGGTGTAGGGTTTCTTGCCTAGGTCCCTTCCAACTCTGTTATTCTATTCTATTCTAATAAGTAAAAATGTCTAGCTAACTATATTAACAGGATGGGTGCAACAATTGCAGAAAAGGTGAGGCAAAGCTTGAGGAAGGTGTACAAGTTCCTGGCCCAGTGTGAGCACAGAGGGGCTGGAGGAGGGTGTGCAGGTAACTTACCCCAGAGACTTGTGACCTTCTTTGCTGACTTTCTCATTCTAGTAAAGCAGTGGTTCCCAAACTTGGCAACTTTAAGACTTGTGGACTTCAACTCTTCAACAGCAGAGCTGGCTGGAGAATTCTGGGAGTTGAAGTCCACAAGTCTTAAAGTTGCCAAGTTTGGGAACCACTGTAGTAAAGCCATAGGGAAGATCACACAAGGCAATCACTTGATCATGGGATGCTCTAACTGGTCATAAGGCCAAGTGCCAAGATTATGATTGTAAAGCTCCTGGGGAAGCCAGAACTCTGAGAACTGGTTGTAACCACCATTCATTCAGCACTGTTGTAACTTCAACAATTACTAAACAAATGGCTGTAAGTCAAGGACTATCTCTGGTAACAGATTTTTGGAAGCCTGTCAAAGTTTCCCTCTGCTCTTCATTACACTAAAAAAAATCACTGTGGGCTAATCTTGAATTTCTTTCTCACAACCTCTTTTTTTCAGAGCTCAGCTAATGTTTAGTTACCCTCTTTTCAATTCCTTCTCTTTTTATGGTTATACATTTATTTTGATGTGAATTATCAAATACAAAGGGTTAACTGAAGGCAAAGACTTCACTGTGGTCAGCTCACCTTGAAGTTAAATCAGTGGTAGACTGTAAAACCTGACTCATTAGCTCTTTTGTGATGGGAACATACATTTGTTACATATCTTTGCACATGTGTGTTTTCTTGCAGTTATGTTTCGCCTCTATGATACAGATGGCAATGGCTTCCTCGACAGCTCGGTAAGCAAACTAGTCCTTTTCTTTAAAAGGATAAGAAGTTACACTTTTCCTCAAATGCCTTGGGGCTTTCCTACTGTGATGCCCCTACAAAGTATTTAGGGCGAGGCAAGGGTTAAATTCAGCAGGTTCTGACAGGTTCTGGAGAACCGATAGCGGAAATTTTGAGTAGCTCGGAGAACCGGCAAATACCACCTCTGGCTGGCCCCAGAGTGGGGTGGGAATGGAGATTTTGCAATATCCTTTCCCCCAGCAGTGGGGTGGGAATGGAGGTTTTGCAATATTCTTTCCCCCAGCAGTGGGGAGGAAATGGAGATTTTGCAGTATCCTTCCCCTGCAGTGCCCACCAAGCCACGCCCACTGAACCAGTAGTAAAACACTTGAATTCACCACTGGATCAAGGGATGCATCAATGAAATCTGGCCATCTCTGGAAAAACATTTCTAGTCTCCAACTAGAAACGGAAACAAGATCATTCATAGTTGAGCATTCCAGCATGGAAATAAGATCATTTGAAGTTGAGGGATTCTTCATAAAGGGGTTTATACAGGTCTTTTTCAAAGTTGGCAGGCTCTGGTAAATTTAGCTGGTTAATAGCAGCATCAAAGCTTGGATCTGGCTCTTTAAATTTTCCAAAACTGTTTTGATATAGTGTAATTCAGTTACCTTATGGAAAACTTAAATGGAAGGCAATGATATGAGTGTAGCTGTGCTGTGTAATATTACGCTTCTGCAAGCACTTTAAAGTGTTTATTCTTAAAAAAGAAAAATAATAATCTGACATAATTATATTAAAGAGGTGGCTCACCTTTATAAAGATATTTACCTTTTTTCCTGCGTGCTTATATATAATGGCAACATCCATATAGTATATCACTCACGTTTTAAAAACATTTACCATCTTCCATCTTGTTTCTAAATTCAGGAGCTCGATCGTATTATCAATCAAATGGTACATGTAGCAGAATATCTGGAATGGGACTCCACAGAATTAAGACCAGTAAGTTATTTTTCCATGTAGAATTGGAATTTATTTTTTAAAAGTGCTTTGTTCTGCTTTTGAGCATCAATTTTTCCTCTGAGGGCTAAGTCATACACAATATTCAATAAACTATGTATAACTACCTTTTTTCCTTTTCTTTACAGCAAAGTAAACATAGCAGTGGATCACTACTAATTAAGATTACCATATGCAAAAGGTTACACCTTCTTCCTAGAAACATGTTTAGCAACATATGCCCTGTCCAATGTGATTTTTTTTCATTTTCTTTGGGTAATTCATCCATGCAGAATACTGGCATTTTTGTGTTGCAAATGGAAAAATGGTGTAATAAAATTTCTCTTCTCCATGGCCCAGTCAAGATTGCTCCAACAAGCACTTTAAAAAATCTAGAAAAATATCTAGATACTATTTATATTTAATCTTATGTAGATTGGTTCTGAATTACTGAGATTAGACTATAAATACAAGGATGGTCCCTATTTTTATTTCCAGAAGGGTTACTATCTTAGTCTGTGGCAGCAAAAACAGAATCTTGTGGCATCTTAAAATTAACTGTTGTCCTTAAAAATGTAAGCTACAATTAGTTTTTAATATGCCACATTTTTTGGTTATTGTTCTTTTTAATGATTTCTTGAGTCATCCATTAATTCTAAATAGCCAGTTTAAACCTGTCAAACATATTGTAATAATCAAGTCACAAATAGAATAGTTCCAAAAAGGGTTTTTTATTTTTGTATTTATTTGACAGAATTTTAAGGCATCCACCACCCACAGCTTATTTTTTCCCCCTTAAAACATCTCTTAAGGAATAAGGATAATTATAATTTCACAGGAAGATAAATTGGAGGCTTAAAAAAATCTGACTTGGGAAATGTGTAACAAAGAACTGCAAAACCAAACAAACAAGCAAAACTCAACCCAAAAACTAGAATTCCATAGAACTCTAAATTATTCTTGGGGCTGATTATCAGATCCAAGTCTTCTGCAAACAAGCATGGTTTTTAAAAAAAAAAAAGCAAAAGAAGCAAAAGAATAAGTTGAAGAAGTCAAAGCAATGTGATGAAACCCAGAGTTGAGTCTGACAACCTGACTTGGGTGGAAATATTGTATGACACCTTTATGTCTCAGCCAGCTAATGGAATCAACTGACAGCATTCAGTCTATGAGATCAGCTGATTATATTCAGGCTGAAATTGCAATCTAGATGTTGTCTCCACTGCTACGTCTACCTCCTAGACTCTGTGATTCACAATTCAAACATCAGTGCCCTTGATTGTTTAACATAATGTTGCAATCAGTTTTGCTTCCTGTGCCTAGTATTCAAAGCCTACAGAACATTTCCTATCATAAAAATAATTACAACTGAAAAAATATATGATGTAACTGGACTTTGTCTTCTACAGATTTTGAAAGAGATGATGGAAGAAATAGACTATGATCATGATGGAACTGTGACACTTGAAGAATGGATTCGGGGTGGTATGACCACCATCCCTCTGCTTGTTCTTCTAGGCATGGAAACAGTGAGTAACAGGCCAGACCTCACAACAATAAGCCAAACTTTCCCAACATGGTGTGTTTCTAGAGTAACAATACATTTTCCTAGGATAGAAGAGAGTTATTATTTGTTGTATAACCTTTCTTTCTACACATTATGCAATGTGACTAACAATAATTGAAATGCAGAATATAAAATGGAAATTAAACATAAAACATAAATTAAAACCAAACCAAATATTATTTAAGAGTAAAAAAAAAGCCCAGCAAAAGATATGCATTTAGCTTTTTTTTCCCAAGGCCAAAAAAAGGACTGTACTTGTAACTATTGTTGAGAAAACCAGAAACCACTTCTTTATTATTCTTTATTTTGTTTTTCTTTTATCTTTCTTTTTCTATAATTTTTTCACTTTTCAATTACTTTTCTCCATTTCTCTTTGTATTTTATTCCATGGAAAAACGCATTTAAGAAAAAATAATTTAAGAGTGTGAGCCTAATAGAATCCCAAAGGTGGACAATCCACCACTGGAAGCAATGCAACTGAAGGTCTTCTCCTGCATACTGAATACATTTGCCTTAAACAAATCATCTTCTGAAGGGCCTCTTATGTAGAACTTAACATCTAGAAAGATTTGTAATAGGAAAGGAAATGTTTCAAACAATCAGTTTTCAAGCTATTTTAATTTTGAAAATTAGCACCAATACTCTAAACTGTACCCAGGAAGCAATTATGGGAAATAAGTTGAGAAAAGGTGCTGTACAGAATGTGACCTTCTGAAGGAAATTAGCTATGATCAATCAGAACCTGCTTACAAGAAAGAAAAGTAAGTACGAAAACTTTCACCAATAATCTAATGGTAGTTTCCCATTATGTGTGATTATTTTTATTAACATTTGCATTGCTTGATGAAATATAAGGAGAGGATTGAAGAAATGTTGTACATTGCAAGGCAGTCATTTATCTAACTTTTACCTTCAAGGACAAAAAAATTTAACATACTGCTTTTGATATATAACATATATAACAGATAATATGTATGTGACATCTCTCTCTAAGGGATAAAGCACATGCTGTGTAGTGCAGTGTAAAGCAGAGGAGCTTCCAATGAACATTTACTTGAATATACACAGACTCTTAGACTCTTAAATCTCTGACCTTTTGAGAGTGCAAGTATTGCAAAATCCAGATTCTCAGTTTCCTTTCTAGCCATAGACACTGAGAACATCTTGACTGTCTGCATAGTATTCAAGGATTGTGTTAACAGTTATCCAAAGCTTCTAAAAAGTGAAGGAGGTCAATGTAAATAAATTTAATTAGGTTCAAAGTAAATCTAATAATATAGTAATTAATTGTGCATTGTTATATTACAGTGCTATGGAACACATATCCGTTTTACCCCTCCATCTGCCCTAGATTCTTGAGACATACAATACAAGCAACCTTTTGAATTCCTGGTGTAAACATTGTCTGGTACATCAAACAGCAGGAGTGATGTACTCATTTTCAGTTCTATAATTTCATGATTTAGAAGTCCTATCTTTAGAAGGTAATGTGGTTATCTGATGGATTTTGAGAGATTATCTGATGCTCTTGACTTCTTGAGAAATCAGATAGAAAACACAATACAATACTGTATATACTGGTATGTATACACGTTTTTATTAGGAAAAGATATTTTCTAATTTTAATTCTACAACTTCTTAAAAATAAGGGTATCAATCATCAGGCCTAGTAATTACGGTTATGTACCATCAAAGGCAATATTCCTCTGAGGAACACAAGTAAGAGGATGTTACTGGGCTCTTTATGAGGTTTCCATAAACTTTATTGACAATTGTGCAACAATAATCTCAAACTGTGTAAGGCCTTTTTTCCTGATCCACTACATTACTTCTTAGAAGATAAGCAGCACATTTTGTTATCCGACAGCAAACCTGGGGTAATATTCCTGTACAAAGTTCTATCTGTTGAAAAATTGTGAATTCTGTGTTTTATAAATTTTCTATTCAGGATAGGCTGGATGGTTGTTTTTTTCTTTTCTTTCAACATTTTGGTAGCATGTCACTTTTACCTGGTCACATGATAAACACACACTTGTTCCTTTGGAAACAACTGGCCTGATTCAATGTCTACACTACAGTCTCCTATACTTCTCTGTTTGATTGGGATTAGTAGGTTCTGTCTAATTTTATAATTTTCTGGGCTAACTCTCATGAGTCCCAATTAGAAGGCTTTGCTTTGTCCTTAGGGAGTATTGTTTGTAGTCTTTTTGTAAATGAGTGAAATACAAAATAAAATAAAGTTAAAAGGCAAAATAAAAGGCAAATGAACTGGAAATTGTCTAATGCAACTGTTGAAAGCGACCTCCATGAACTTGCTGTTGCAACTTTGGTGCTTGGCTGATGGTTTTGTCTGGCTCAAAATGGGAATCCCTAAGTTAAATGTTGGGGGGGGGGGAGAAGACCAAGTTGCATTGAATAGTAGAAAAATGCTTGTGTTTTGTGCCTCTATAAGTAAATGTAGATCAGAGATTAGATTTTTTGCTGTGAAGCCACCTTGCATATCACTGTATCCCAGATAGACATGTCAGCCACCATAACCATTCAAAAGGCAATATTTGAAATTGTATTATGCAGATATTAGTAATAAAGTACTCTGGAGTGCCTTTTGCTTTAATGGCACTCCTGGAATCTTGTTGATTCACTCTCTTCCAAATTGGCACTTGCTTTTTCAGTACTTATCATAGAGGTGATTGCGTATAGTGTATAGTGGCACAATCGTTAGAGTATTCTATTGCCAAATACTGCACATCTGTATAGGGAAGTTGCCATATGCACAAGATTGATGTTCACCATAATGACACAATGAGAATAATATCTGGAACCCTTAAATTCACACCACTTTCATGGCTTCATGTGCTTTCTAACATTGCACCTCCTGACTTATCTCAGATGACAACAGTTTCAGAGTGGAATAAGATAAACACACTGAATGGCCGAGAGCCTGCAATGTGACTAGTGCATCGGAATAAACTATAACACATATCGTTCAAGAAAGTTTCCTCAGAAAATTTTAAGGCACCTGGGATGATCTCATTCCAGCCACACCAGAAGCAGTTAAATGGTTATCTTCCTTAGCTATCAAACTATAACATCTATCCCAGTGCAATTCTATGGCTCCATATTACAGTGTTTATTAGGGTTTTATCTTAATTTAATATATTGTCTCCTATATTGTATTGTACATACACACTACACACACACGTGCATATCTATATTTGCTGATGCTTTAACTGTATATTAATGATTGCACAATCCCTGTAGACGCCATACGTTAAATAAATAAATAAAATAGAGGCGCTACTATTGATAGGACAACCATTCATCTTTTATATCTGTCAGAGATGCTGGTAACACCCTCTCTTCCCACCCAAAAAAATCTATCATACCTTACAGATAATTATACCATTCTATACTAATTGCTGAGAAAAACAACATATTTACATTTTTAGAAATCCAAGTTATAATTCATTAAATTATTCAGTCTTTGTCTTTTGACTATATGATACTACATAGATTATTTAGACCAATTTCCCCAAAATGGTATACAAAAACATTGGACAATGGATATTATGGTTAACTTACCTACTGTAATCAAATTGAATCTCCAATCAAAATAGTTATTGTTTGGAGATGATAGAAATATACTATAGCATATCAGGAGAAGATCAAGTCAAGACAGGTTAATGTATTCTCTGGGTAATTATTTATCATGAGTCTTAGATTATTTTCTTGCATGGTAGCAAAAGTTTAATTTTTTAAAATTCTGCAGCTTCTTTTTCAAAACATAAAGTGAAGCTAGCAAAACTATAACATAGGTTAATTCAGACAATTATTTACAGGTTGTTGACATGCCAATTAAGTTCAACAAGAGTGTCTGTGTGAAGAAAACTGATGAATGTTTTCTATAGTTCTGACATTATTCATATTGTAAAGAGATAACATTGATAATTGTGCAATTTCTGTGATTGGGTCATCAGTGGGTCATTATAGATTCATCATACTGATTCTTCTCTGCTAAGTGAACTTTTTTTTAAAAAATCCCTACAGAATATAAAGGATGATGGCCAACATGCTTGGAGATTGAAACATTTCAAGAAGCCTGCCTACTGCAACTTTTGCCGTACTATGTTACTGGGAGTTAGGAAGCAAGGCTTATGCTGTTCCTGTAAGTCCCTGCTGATGCACAATAATCATGGCTAGTGAGGTTACCTACTTGTCAGTTGGGAAGGGTCATGTCAAAATCTCCCCAAAAGATGGGGAAAGGGTTTTTTTTTAATTTAGTTTCTGTTTAATCTTAAAACAGAGATAGTAAGACTTCAATATTTCCAGTATGTTCCTTTCTCAAGGGTTGCTTGAGATTTTTGCAGTTGTACACCATTAGAGAACCAGATACAAATGATAACCCGCTTTCAAGTCAACCAAAGTAACAATTCAGAGAGAATAGTCTTTTCTAGGACTCAGATTGATCAACTTGAAAAGCTGAATGTTGTGTGCTTTAAGAGCTTCCTATTGCTACAGCTGTTCTTTTGAATTGAAGAAATTCATTAGTAGTGTGTCAATGGTATTGGACAGTCCCAAAGACTTACAAAAGTTCATTTTTAAAAAGGAAAATTGTATGAGGCAACCAAACAACAACCTTTTACTGAAATAGATTATTTTACAAAAGCCTAGGTGAAAGAGGCATGTCCTCAGTTGCCATCTAAAGAAAGCTTGGAGGCCAACCTTGGGACAAGAGTTTCAAATAATAAGGTAGGATAGATGGTTACTGAGAAGTCTCACTGGATTCAAGAGAACACAATTTTTAGTAAATGAATAGAGATGGCAATTGTTAATACATTACTTTCAAATTTTAACTTATGGGAATCTGAGGTTTAGAAGATAACATAAACATATTGATTGTAAACCCCATGCTGAGAAGTGACCTCATCCAACACCAGGTAGATGCTAATCATGAGGAGTAAAAGAATCATATCCTGAGGCAACCCACAACACAAAATTTTAGGGCTTAATCTCTCTCTCTGGAATTGCACTTGAAAAAGGAAGGAGGGGAACTGCCAAGTACTGTTCCCAGTCCACTAAGCCAATTCAGAAGGATATCATAATCAATGGTATCGAAAGTTGCTGAAAGTTCAAGGAGAGCCAGGACAAATGCACCATTTCTGTCCCTAGCCAGCCAGAGGTCATCCACAAGTGTCATCAATGCATATCAATAGTGAATAGTAAATCTACTATCATGGATTATGACAACAGTTTACTCATTTAGAATTTTTCAAAGAATTGAATATATACAATTGCATACTTGGAATAATATATTTTAACAGCCAAATTCTAGAAGTAGCTGGAAATTGTGCTCAATCCAGTAATTTACAATGGCTCTCTTTTTTGTTTCCTTTCTACAGTTTGTAAATATACTGTCCATGAAAGATGTGTGTCCAAAGATATTCCTCCTTGCATCAGTACTTACGTAAAATCCAAGAGAAATACAAATGTAAGTGAGGCATATGCGGAAGATTAGTACAATGGGTCCACTATTTAATCATCTGCCATGAATTCAAAAGTCATCTGTATGTAGAACATGCAGTCCATACTATCATACTAATGCTATTTTAGTAAAAGAAGTTTCTGTCTTACAACAACCAATTCACTACTATGATTTTGATATTTGCAGATAAGCTTTAGGATTAATTTTTGTTTGCAAAGTGATAATGAATTGTTTTTGACTCTTTTTAAATTTTGTTGCCTTAAATTTGTATTTAGTGAAAATCAGTATAGGCATTTAATATAAAGTAGGTCCACAAAAATACTGCCTTCCAGATCTTCTCATCTTCAGAAATTAACTACTTCAATAGTATTAATTAATATTAATTAATTCCATTTTCAGTGGCAGAGACAAGGCAGGCTTGTCCTTTGCTGTTTCCAGGGCAGCCCCATGGGCCAGATCTAAGCACCCTGTGGGCAGGATCTGGCCCGCAGGCCTTGAGTTTGACACCCCTGTACTGGAGAAATTAAAACTCTGCTGAAATTGTAACTGTGTTAAGATTCAAACAGTATGCTCTCTGTTGCAAAAAAGCAAAAGTCAAGAGTTTCAGTTAGTACAGGTGCTACTTTGAATCAGACATTGAGGCATTAGAGAGACACAGTTGTTTACAGTGTATGCACATGGGTACACAATACCCCTTATGCAGTATGCAGTATGCATATTATAAGTTATAATGTAATGGGAAGTGGGAAAGACCTTGGGACATGGAGCAAAGAGATAACCATCAGATAAGAGACAGAATAGCCCGCAACTGCAGACTGAGCAGAGCAAGAGTTTCAGAAGTGACTCTCTGTAAGTTCTCAGGCTCTAAAGACGATAGCACAAGAACTGTACTTTCACAGTTGCAAAATTCTATTAACATAGCTTTATAGTAAAGTAAAATTAGTTTATCTGGTCATATTCCCTGCCTGGTCTACCAGGTAAGGCTGACAGTTAAGCTATTTACTTACAACCATTTATGCTTTCAATAAATTTATAGATAATATCAAACAGCATTTAGGCTTATATAGAGCCCCATAGTGCTTTGCAGCACTCTCTGGGCAGTTTACAATGATAGTTGTAAAGTATATTGCCCCCAACAATCTGGATTCTCATTTTACTGACCTGTGAGGGATGGAAGGTTGAATCAACCTTGAGTCCTGTCAGGATCGAACTCTGGGGCTATTGGCAGAGTTTGCCTATAGTGCTGCATTCTAACCACTGTGTCACCAGGGCTCTGATATGAATGTATAGAAATACCTGATAATCAGAGAAAACTGAAGATGGAGACAGTTCCTGTAGTAGGAATTTCCCTAAATTTGCACTATCCTCCCTTTCTACCAAGCTAGTTGAACAATTTTGCATTTCTAGGCTATGCAGCACACATGGATTGAGGGCAATTCCCCAGCCAAGTGTGATCGATGTCATAAAAGCATCAAATGCTACCAGGGAATTACCGGACTACATTGTGTATGGTGTCAAATCACAGTGAGTACGTGAAGAGAATGTGGTCTTTTTATTATTAACCAAAAATTATGGAAATCCACTTTAGTCAAGACAGATCGTTACACATTTAAATTAATGAATTTTGTGATATGTTTGTAAGAAAGAAAGATTCATCTTCCCTTACTACTGTAGTTATCCTTCCTAATTCTCAAAATAGCCATTATTCAGTAAATTATAGAGAAACCATAAATGCTAAAAATATTGTGGCTCAGCAGTTCATGCAACTATACATCACCTCTTTTATAACCCTGATTCTGACATTCTCTATATTGCCAAAAGTATTCGCTCACCTGCCTTTACTCGCATATGAACTTACAGTATTTAACCTGTGATTATGTCTTCCTGACTGAATTACTGTTAGTATTGTTTTCCCCTTTGGATTCATTGTTGAGTCACTGACACTGCATTAGTGCCCATAATGTGGCTAGATATTTCTTTAGATATTCTACTCCATGCTTCATTCATTTTTATTATCCTTCAGATGCATATCAGTTATAACGTGACTTCTCCAACTTAATGACTTTTTTCATTGTTCTTTGTGCTAATTACAGTTAGTCTGGATTTTATTCAGAATTTATCTGTTCTGTATTAATATGAGTATTGGGTAGAGAATTTGTAACAACATCTATTAGACATCGGTCAGCAGAGATCTGGAGCATACATGCGGCATGTCCATATGGGAATGCATGGGGCAGGAGAGGTTGAGGGGAGCAGGTAGTCCTACAAGTAGCTCAGTTCTATGGTATCTAAAGCTTTAAAGGCAATACAGGAAACTTGAATTGCACCTGAACATCTATTGGGAGCCAATATAAGTTCATAGGCGAGTAAAGGCAGGTGGGCGAATACTTTTGGCAATATAGTATATATGAAGTAAATCATTGTGAAAAGGGAGATATTTTTAGAAGGCTTCAGAGACAAAATTGGCTTTCTCAAGGAACACATCCAAGATTGGATAACAATGATATTACCCACTTTACAACTATTGTGAACTATTGTAAGCACCACTGTGCTACCACAATAAAACTCAGAGGATGCACTGCTTTTTTTATATTTGGAGGCATTTAATTTTTATTGTTATATGTGGTGAATGGTACTAGCAATAGCAATAGCAGTTAGACATATACCGCTTCATAGGGCTTTCAGCTCTCTCTAAGCTGTTTACAGAGTCAACATATTGCCCCCAACAACAATCCGGGTCCTCATTTTACCCACCTCGGAAGGATGAAAGGCTGAGTCAACCCTGAGCCGGTGAGATTTGAACAGACGAACTGCAGAACTGCAGTCAGCTGAAGTAGCCTGCAGTGCTGCATTTAGCCACTGCGCCACCTCGGCTCTACTACATGCCTCTTAAGAGCAATGATAGATAGTGAGGTTTACCAGACCTGCAGATATTAAGACAGGAAGAATAGAGCTGCTTAAAAACATGATTTTTGATTTTATTAATGTTTTAATTTAAACTCTTCTCCTTTTCCAAAGAACTCAGAGCAGTTCTTTGAAGAAACAGCAACAATTTCACAGAATTACAACTGTTTACAACAGAAAAGCATAACACCCCACAATTCCTGAACATTACCTCCAGAGCGCCTCCTAAAAATTAGCAGCAAATTGTAATTTTTAATGTGATAGAGGAAGGTACACTGCTGGACAGTTGTAGCTTCCAAGTGATCTTAAAGGCCAACCCATGTAAAATACATTGACCATGAGCAAGATCTTCCAGTCCAGAAAAGGACACAGTTGGTGCACAACATGGATCTATGCAAAGGTCCCCCTGAGCAGGAACAATAATACCAGGAAAATCTCACAAATTGGGCACCAGGTCAATCTGAGGAAGTGTGACCCTTTCCAGACTCAATGATGATAAATCACCAAGGACCAAAAGCATGGAGCCACTACATCTTGCCAGGTTTGGGCTGTGGGATCTTCCCCATCTAGGCACTCACCGCCTCCAGACATTTGGTCAGTGCAACAGTACCTGCCAAGCCAAAGCTAGAGATGTATAACTGTATCATGGACATACTTTCCCCTCTCCATTTTGGTACAAAAAAGTATCACTATTTTCTCATGACTGTTCTCCTTAAGGAATTAACTCTCCCAACAGAAAGCAACGGCTTTTCTGCAGTGCTGGAGGCTAAAAGCCATCTTATCAAAGAAACATCAAGTGCTTTGCTAATCTGATTTTATAATTTTCTTGATCACAAGTAAAGGAAAAATTTAGAGGATCAAATGGATATGAATGGAAGCAGGAAAGTAAATATTGGTACATGCTGTTTTCTTTCTTTTTAAAGCTTCACAACAAATGTGCCTCACATATGAAACCTGAATGTGATGGTGGGCATCTAAAAGACCACATCTTGCTGCCTTCCCAGATCTGCCCAGTTGTTCTGGTAAATGAGTCTGCTTGACACACATCAAATTGTTTTAATGAGTGGTATTTTCTTGTTGGTTTTGTCTCGCTTAAGGCAACTGGATAATATAGTCTCATGATCCAAATGATTTTATCCAAGCTGATTTAGTTAATTAGTTTAGCCATTCCAAGCCTGGTATTTCCCTGTAATATCCCGTGTATTGGACCATAGTTCCCCACAATCTTGTCCACCATGGTCTCAAGCTGGGAAAAGTGCACTAAGGTTCTCCTAATAACTACACTGATAGTTCCCAGGACATATGTGGATGTCACAAATATGAATGGCAGTTGTGGGGGAATGTTATGAATTAAAGATCTTTTATTTTTAAATGAAATAAATCTATGTTAAAGTTTTTATCTGTTTTCATCTACTTTCAAGGCCCAAATTTAATTATTATTCAATCATGTCATTATATAATGGGGAGATTCCTGAATTTTTGACCTAGAGTCATCTGTCTGTTTACTGTACCTGACTATGACTAATGAACAAAATTTTTAAATGGATTAAATGAAAATTATTACCAGTCAACAACATATATTAGAACTTAAATATAAAAAATGGAATAACTGTTGAATGTATCAAACCATGCAGAATTAAATAATATTTTTCACAAATAGTCCCTCTATGTGGAGAAACTCTAAATATATAAACAAATATGGAACATTTATGTCTGCTATATAACAGAGGACTGTTTCCTCAGAAGCTGAGCATATATAGGTGTAGAGTAAAGCTAACCTTGGCCCACAACTTTGTTGGGTATAGCGAAAGAAAGTCACATGAATGTTAAGAAACGTAAAAACAACTTGAATAAAGGGCTGAAGCAACTCTCTTAATTTGGAAATATTAAACAAAAGGCCAGTAAAAGGGACCATGATGTACAGAATGATTCTACAGAGAAAATGGATAATAAGATTAGATGATTCAATGGAGGTCTTTCCATAGTTACTAATCATGATGACTTTATGCCTTCTCCAAGATCAGAGACATTATGCCTCAATTAAATCTTGTTCATGGGAAATTTATGGCTACTGTTATGTGAAAGCTACTTTTGGTGTGATATTTTCAGAACTTAATTATAATTTGTAGCAAAATTGCTAGGTTTTCCAAGATCATTTGGAATTTATAAAATGCATGTCCTTTACCAAATGATAACTTTTGTTTGGTAGGCAGCATTTTAGTACCCACATGTTATACAATATCCTTAATCTTTTGTGGTCTTATTATATATTTTTATACTTAGAATTCCATCATTTCCTCTCTGTTTATGTCATTAGTACTTCTTTGCTATCTATTTTTAAATGTCCGTATGCATCTTTGACTCTTCAAAAGGATAGGCAATCCCACTCACGAAGATCAGAGAGTGAATCACCATCCAGCACCACCCCCGAGGATGCAAACATGATCTTCAAATACAATACTACCACGGTGGATGGACATGGACTGCAGGTGGGCAGCTGATAGCATCTTTTCTCCCTTGTACATGTATAGGTGTATATATCCATGGAGAAGCACTTTCATCATTGTGAGCAATAGTAGGCCTCTTTGGATAAAAATATACCAGAACACAGTGTCAATATGTTAGTCCTTTAGCCTGCTTATGAATCATTCTGAGATTAGATAGTCCCAAAGCATTTCATGGCCAGAAAAAAATAATAACAAGTCATCGTTCCCTTCTCCATTTCTATATAAAAAGTCAAATAGATTGGAAGTTGCATCTTTCTTTGCATTGACATTGGAACGGGGGGGGGGGTGTTGCATTTCTGAAGGCAATTTGATAATTTATATCCATGTTTCTCAACCTTAGCATTCTTAAGATGAGTGGACTTCAGTTCTTAGAATTCTTCAAGTTCTTCAAACTTCAATTATCTTGAATTCTTCAAACTTCAAGTATCTTAAAGTTGCTGAGACTGAGAAACACTGGTTAAGGGACAGAAGGAAAACTACATGCCATATTGCATTTTTTTTTTTTTTTTGCTCTAACATCTTGCTTCCACCTTCCATCATCTGTTTGTTCCATTCCAGGAATTATAGCTATGCTAAACTGTGCATGTGTTAATAGCAGAACATCCATCCCCATAGAATTTAGAATTCAGTGTGCCTTCTCTTTGAAAAAAGATTATAATGATATAGAATCAATGCTTGCAAATGTTCGATTAGGCTAATATCTGTCATGCCCTTAAGGATTCAATCACTTGATGTGTATCAAAAAGGTGCAGAAGGTCACAAGCTTTCTAAGCCATTTGTTAGTCTGTGTCCAATATACAATTTGTGACCCAGTGAATAGCAAGATAATATGAAGAAAAGGTGCAAAGATTAGCAGAGTTTGGAGGTCCCTAACGTTTCTCCATAGCACTAAATCCTATTTACCCAACATTTTTTCTAGTTAGATGTTTTGCTTCATCTGTAACTCTTTCACATCACTTATTTCTCCTCCTTTCTGCATAATGTTTGTATGTTGTGCAAGGAGTGTGCTTGTTTGATATTCCCTTTGGTTTTCAGATCACGCCTAAGCCAGGAACCCACCCATTGCTGGTATTTGTGAATCCCAAGAGTGGAGGAAGGCAAGGAGAAAGGTATGTTTCCCCCTTCTTTTGAAAAATTGTACATTTCCAAGATTTAAGATTGTGATGCAATAAATGCACCAATAAATTGTTGTAGACAAATAAATCTTCAAGCAAATGTTTTATAGCAGATTTCCCCTTATATTCAAACTGTAATGTTCCTTATAAAATGTAGTTATGATTCCAGGTATTTTTATCATTACTCTTACAAGTGTAAGAGCTCTTACAAGGGGTCCTGGTAGCTCAATGGTCAGAATGCAGTATTGTACACAAACTCTGTCCACAGCCTGGAATTGGATCCTGACGGCTCAAGCTTGACTGAGCCTTCCATCCTTCAGAGGTTGGTAAAATGAGGACCCAGATTGTTGGGGGTAATATGATGATGTTGTAAACCGCCCAGAGAGTGCTGTAAAGCACTATGGGATGATAGAAAAAGTCTAAGTGTTATTGCTAAGTGCTATAAGCTTCTGTGAATGTCCTGAAACTTAAAAGTTCTCACCAGTTACTGAAAACAAAGATTTGCCACACCGATATACGTAATTTTGAGGGTCATTTTCCTCCATGAATCAATGAACAAGTATAATATTTTGACTCATTTAACTGCTGTAGCTTAGGATCAGAATATCAATTTTGAATGCAGAATCCAGATTAAATAATTCACATTTTCAAATAATAGTAAGACAGACTCCAAAGTGGAATTCTGGAGAGCTGCTGCCAGTCAATGTAAAATGTTGGTTAAAAAAATGGTGTTTGTCTAGATGGTTGACCACACTGGCTGAGATTATTGGAAGTTGTAGTTCAACATCACCTAGAATTAGACAATTGTAGAATTGAGAGGAGCCATTAAGTGCAATTCCTTGTTCAAATGAAAATGGAAGTATCCAAAATAGGTGGCTGCCAAGCCATTACTTGAACAAATCTAGCGAAGGGGAGCATATTATCTTCCTTGCTAATTGATTCCATTGACAATCTGCCCTTCCTGTTACAAAGCTTTTCTTAACACTCAAGTGGAATCTACTTTAATATAATTAAAGGCTATGTTTTCCTCTTGTACACATTGCCAGAAAGCAAATCTTCACTTTTTTGTGTAAATCTGAAAGCATTGTCATGCTTTTCCCTTTGCCTCCATTCATTTTTTCTTAAGTCTCTGAAGTTCACTTCCCTCAGCCTTTTCTAGGACTTCATAACCTCCTTTCCTAACATCAATTGATTCTGTACATAGCTTTTTTTTATGCCATATCTATAAATCAGACTTACTGGCATATATTCTTCCTTGGTGACTGTCCTTTTATTTTATGGGGTTCTTTTATTTACAGATTTTCCCTAAAGATTGTTTTTTCTTTCTTTCTTTGTGCAACCAGGTAGGCTTTTTTTTTTTGGCTGTGTTTCACTTTTTCTCCTTTTAATTTTGTTTGAGAAGGGAGGAAATCCTGTTCTTAGTGATTCCTATTTTAAGAATTCTCACCCAATCTTTGAATAATTTTCACTTTTGTGTTTCTTGCCAAAGAATTCACGTTTTGATTGATTGGATTTATTAATTTCAGTTTCCATTAAAATCAATTTTACATAGTCATTATCTCCCATGTTCTTGCTTACTTCCACTTCCTCAACTTAATTATTGTATGATAGTTACTCTCATAATAAGTATAGCTGATGCTCTGGTGTTCTTTTTCACTATTCCACTATTAGAAGAAAAAAGTGGTCCGCAAAACAATGCAGAAAATAATAATTTGTCTTGACTCTCATTTTTACAGCTGTTGATTCTTATTTTTCTTACTTTTAGGGTACATAGGAAATTCCATTACATACTCAATCCCAGACAAGTTTACAACCTGGATCGTGGAGGACCTAATCCTGGGTATTGAAGCTCAAAATGTGGCCTATTTCACATATTTGCTTGCTTGTTTGTCATAATTAAAAATCTTTGGTCCTCCTTTTTACTATTACTTTCTTCCTTTGTGTTGTCTCTGATTTATTCTTCTTATCACTTCACTTCTTTTTCCTCTTTGCTTCTTTCCTCAGTTCAATTTCCCTTATTTCCTCCTCCTTATTTCCAAAAGCTTGTTAATATGCCTTAGATTGAGAAACTCAATTGACTGGTGGTCCTTTAAAGTACGTATATATGTATTATATTTGCTACATTTGTATTATTCAGTCAACTGGGTCTCTATCAATTCATGATAGAATACATGTGAATGCTTCATTGCAATACAAAGGATCAATGCAGCAAATGATAATTGCAGCTGAGATTATTTAGTGTGTTGCTGTTAATGGAATTATATCTAAAATGTACATAGATACTAAAAAAAGTTTTTTAAGCAGGAATAGATAGAAAACAGATCTCCTCCATGAAGTGTAGATTGGACTCTAAATTGCATGATTTCTTTGTCAATTAGATTGCATTTAATCATTCACCTGTTCAGTTGAGAATAGCAAAATATCTTATTTTTTAATCATGAAGAACAGTACAACTAACGTGCTTTTTTGGATGCTAACTTCTGTATACCATTGTAGAATTTGAAAAGCAACCATCTAAGTCTGACTTTCCTCAGTCATATATCCTCCAGATATTTCAGATAATAAATTCCAGAATGTACTTGGAAGGTTGGGGAGTATGTGACATTGTTCTTATTGTAGAATAAGCATCCGTTTCTAAACTACTTCCTTTTTTTTGCCTTCTATTTTTTCTTACATAGATTAAACTTTTTCCGTGATAGCACAGACTTTCGTATTTTGGCTTGTGGAGGAGATGGGACGGTTGGATGGATCCTGGACTGCATAGGTAAATTAGGATCTGTCAACAGTTGATAAATGAAATTATCATTGGAAGCATGGGTTAGGGTTAGGGTCATGGCTAAGAGAAGGGAAGGAGAGGCTGAGTTTCTTCTTTCTCATGAATGCAGGTGAAACTCAAAAAATTAGAATATTGTGCAAAAGTTCATTTATTTCAGGAATACAAATTAAAAGGTGAAACTAATATATGAGATAAACTCATTACATGCAAAGCAAGATAGTTCAAGCCATGATTTGTCATAATTGTGATGATTATGGCTTACAGCTCATGAAAACCCCAAATCCACAATCTCAGAAAATTAGAATATTACATGCAATCAATAAAACAAGGATTGTACATAGAACAATATCGAACCTCTGAAAAGTATAAACATGCATATGTACTCAGTACTTGGTTTGGGCCCCTTTTGCAGCAATTACTGGCTCAATGTGGCATGGCATGGAAGCTATCAGCCTGGGGCACTGATGAGGTGTTATGGAAGACTAGGATGCTTCAATAGCAGCCTTCAGCTTCGGTCTCATGTCTTTCATCTTTCTCTTGGCAATGCCCCATAGATTCTCTATGGGGTTCAGGTCAGGCAAGTTTGCTGGCCAATCAAACACAGTAATCCCATAGTCATTGAACCAGGTTTTGGTGCTTTCGGCAGTGTGGGCAGGTGCCAAGTCCTACTGGAAAATGAAGTCAGCATTCCCATAAAGCTCGTCTGAAGAAGGAAGTGCTCCAAAATCTCCTGGTAGATGGCTGCGTTGACCCTGGATTTAATGAAGCACAGTGGACCAACACCAGCAGATGACATGGCTCCCCAAATCAACACAGTCTGTGGAAACTTCACACTGGACTTCTAGCTTCTTGCAGGGTGTGCCTCTCCATTCTTCCTCCATACTCTGGGTCCTTGGTTTCCAAATGAGATGCAAAAGTTGCTCTCATCAGAAAAGAGAACTTTGGACCACTGAGCAACAGACCAGGTCTGTTTTTCTTTAGCCCAGGTAAGACGCTTCTGATGTTATTTGTTGTTCAGGAGCGGCTTGACAAGAGGAATACGACATTTGAAGCCCATGTCCAGGATCCATCTGTGTGTGGTGGCTCTTGATGCACTGACTCCAGCCTCAGTCCAGTCCTTGTGAAAGTCCCCAACACTTTTGAATGGCCTTTTCCTGACAATCCAGGCTGTGGTCATCCCTGCTGCTTGTGCACCTTTTTCTTCCACACTTTTCCCTTCCACATAACTTTCTATTAATTGCTTTGATACAGGACTTTGAGAACATCCAATGTCTTTTGCAATTACCTTTTGAGGCTTTCCCTCCTTATGGAGGGTGTCGATGATGGTTTTCTGCACAACTGTCAGGTCAGCAGTCTTTCCCATGATTGTGATTCCTACTGAACCAGACCATTTAAAGGCTCAGCCTTATGCAAGCGTTATGGCTTAATTAGCTGATTAGAGTGGGACACTTTGAGCCTAGAATATTGCACCTTTTCACAATATTCTAATTTTCTGAGAGTGTGGATTTGGGGTTTTCATGAGCTGCAAGCCTAATCATCACAAGTATGACAAATCACAGCTTGAACTATCTTGCTTTGCATGTAATGAGTCTATCTCATATATTAGTTTCACCTTTTACGTTGCATTACTGAAATAAATGAACTTTTGCACAATGTTCTAATTTTTCGAGTATGTATATCTGTCTAGTATAACAAAATAAATTGTAAATTAGAGAAGTCTGACAAGAAAGGCAGCTTCATGTACAGTTTGCATCCTTATTATTACCATCCACTTCTTCATAGTTGTTAGGACTTTCTGATAAGGAGCTACATTTGTACAGATCGACAAGCACAGTTTAGATGAAAAGAGTAAACCTAGGTTTTAACCTTCTGGCTTTAAGGAGCAGAGAAGGTGACTATTTACAAAACTCATAATCAATTATATTAACTTTTATTATTGACAGTTTAATTTGTAGTATACCACCAGTGTGGTAGTCTCACCTCCTCTCCCCTGTTCTTTTGATATTGGCTATAGCTGTACTTTCTGGCTATTGCACCGGACTTAATAAAGGCTCAGGAAGGACTGTGGAAAGTAGCTTAGCCCCTATTTTGTTTTTGGCCACTCATGGGAAGATTTACCTCCTTCTCTCAGAGACTCTACATTTTTTAAAGATGTCATACCATGGCAGTCTTTGGGCCTATCAAGTAACAAAAAATGTACTCCCTTAAAGAAATCTTGTTGGGGGCAATATGCTGACTCTGTAAACCGCTTAGAGAGGGTTTTAAAGTGGTATATAAGTCTAAGTGCTCTTGCTATTGATTAAAGTGTGGGGGAGGGGTTGATGCAGATGTAGAGGTAAGGTTTATCATAATTATCAGGGGCTCCACTATACTAATCCCCAACTCCTCCCTCCCCCTCCACCATTTCTTCCACTAATAGTGGATTCCCATCCACTGCAGCTATCACATTGAGACCATGTCTTCTAGCCAACTTGCTTCAGGTACATCATGTACTCTCCCTACAGTTTTTTTTTTTTAATGTTTAGCCAGTGAACACAATTCAAGTGAATTCTATCCCTTTGGGAGTTATTAAGCTTTACTACATCTGTGAGCTGCCCTATGGAAGATGTTGCCAAAGAAGGTTATCATACCCAAAGGCCTATCTGAGGGCCTCTGATGGTTGCTTATTTCTTTGCAGATAAAATGAACTTAGCAAAGCACCCTCCTATGGCTATCCTGCCATTGGGAACAGGGAATGATCTTGCCCGCTGCCTCCGATGGGGAGGAGGTAAGTCTCTCAAGTCAGCCCAATGTTTTGCTTCATTCACCTTGATTTCATGCCATGACTTGCCAACGATTCCTCTTGCTAGGAGTCCCATGTGTTGTTGAAACCTGTCAGCTGTTTTTAATGCCATTAGCTATTTCCCATGCTTTGCTGCTATTATGAATATGGGGAAATTTCATGGAAAGGTAAAGGAAAGGTAGCTTCACTTCACCATTCAGAAGATAAATGGAGAAAATTAAACATGTTCCTACAGTTGAACACCAAGGAACCAATCAGTTTTCCTTCTCAGATGGGTATGTAAACAGAGGAGAGAGAGCAGGCATTCTTTTGTTCTTTGTTTTTTATGCTTCTCCTTTGATGCCAGCTAATTGCATAGGAAGACAAACGTTCCAGTTTTGGCAGCTACAGGAGAGGAACTAATGAATCTGGACAAAAAAAAAAAACTAGACCAGCAAAGCTGTTTGTAGTATAGATCTGTTGCATTTTGTGGATTGGGATGTGGGCTGTGTGAACTTCACAACATGTATGTGTGAGGGATCTTGGAGTTTAGAGAAAAACCCATTCTACCACTCTTTTACAAGAAAGGTGGTAAGTGGCGACCCTCTTCTTTTAGTACCGTGACCTGATAATAATTTGTTTGCAAAGCTTAGATTTCTTTTCCAGAATCAGTACACTACAGTTCATTAAGAATTTAAATCTTTATGGTATAAAACAAGATCAGAAACTTACATTGCAAATGGAACAGAGAAGAAAATGAAGACAAATGAACAAATGTCTCTCAAATAAGTTGATCTCAGTTCCTACTAACCCAGGAAATAGATGTTTTAGGTGACTGGTGCAGACGTGTGATGGAACTGGCTTGTACTTGCTCACAAGAGCTGATTATTAAATTTTGTGGAATTTTATGAGCCACTTGAATACAGATATGAGCTAAAATGCTTAAGGTGCAGAGGAGTGGCAGCAATACAGCTGGGATTGTTGATTGCTATACATTGATCAGTACACCAATGGGCTATGTTGTTTAACTAACATATTCAGTTGGCTCTCCCGTGTGAGACAAGAGTATGGAGACCTTGGTAGAAATGAGTGTATGCCGAAGCCATCATGCCTCATGTGCATGCATACTCTATTAAAGTACCATTGGAGGCTCTTGATCTCCATCATGTGGATGCATTCCTATTTAAAGTACACATCCCATGCAGATATCCCATTATATCCACCATGCAGCCAGAAGCTATCGCTAACCAATAGCTCTATTACCCACAAAATACTGCTTCGTAGTTGCAATTTGAACTATACTGCAATTTAACATTATTATTAGGGATGAGATTTTAAATGGTCCCTATATGGAATGCATATTGTTTACTGGCCAAGAGACCGATGCTGATGTTTTTGCCACAAGCAATTAATTGAGAATTGGGAATGGAGTACAAGGCCTCAGACTTCAGCTACAAATCCAGTTATATTGTTGAGGAGGCTTATGCTACATGGGATTGATTTCTGCTTCAAATTGTAGATCATCGGCCTTTCTTTTCTGGCTATATATTCTGTACAGCCCATCACTGCTTGGCCTTCTCTTACTCTATTGCCCATTAATGCTTGGCAAATTCCACCATAACATTCTGTTCCTCATCACCTGTCAATTTTTATTTTTCTATTCCAAGGTTATGAAGGAGGCAACCTAATAAAAATACTTAAAGATATTGAGCACAGTACTGAGGTAATGCTGGACCGATGGCAAATTGATGTCATTCCCAATGACAAAGAGGAGAACGGAGATCCTGTCCCATACAGCATCATCAACAACTATTTCTCCATAGGAGTAGTAAGCAATCGGTGTTATCTTATTCACGTGGCTTTCCAAATATTTAGGGTTACAATCCTATCATCTTTTACCATCCTGATAAATTTTAAGTCTCAAATATTTCATTTTTTTCCTTCATACTATTCCCAATGCATTGGAGTATCAAGGTCATTAATAAGAACACCATTAATTATGGAAGGACTGCAGTAGAGAATTGATTTGGGAAGCAAAGGGGGGTATAATAGAAGGATCATTTCCATAGTGTATGCGCTTCAGAAGTTTGTGGCATGACATTCTGCCTGTTTGCTTATGACTATTTTTCACCAAAATCATTACATAAAATAAAACAAATAATAATACCATATGGAATATATCAGTGACAGCAATATGCCAAATGACACAAGAGGAGAGTTCACAAAAATCTCTGGATAAACAGTTTGGCCTTTAGTTGAATTCTAAAACTGGAGCGCTTGAGACCAAAAGTCTGATAAATGCATATTCTTCAAAAGAGCTTCTTTACTTGATGTTAGTTTCTGGACAGATACAGTTGAGAAAAAGGACCAATAAGATACCAACAAGGACCTGAGCCACACGGCTGAATTTTTCTTGATAGCGTAGAAGTTGCCAGTTCTGATCCTTCAAAATTGATATGCAGTAACGTTTCTATTGTAGGCTGTACAATGTTCAAATCTGAAGCAGGAAAAGTATTGCAGCTCCATCATGTTCTCCCACTTTATCAGCAACTCCTTAAATAAACTACATTATTTCCTGGATTCACAGGGTACCTGCAGAGTCAGGAAACTACGTAGAATAACAGAGTTTGAAGGGACCTTGGAGGTCTTCTAGTTCAACCCCCTGATCAGGCAGGAAACCTTATACCATTTCAGATAAAGGATTGCCCAATCTCTTTTCTAAAACTTCCAGTGCATTTGCAACTTCTGGAGGCAAGTTGTTCCACTGACTAATTGTTCTGTCACAAAATTTCTCCTTAGTTCTAGTTGCTTCTCTCTTTGATTAATTTCCACCCATTGCTTCTTGCTCTGCCCTCAGGTGCCTTGGAGAATAGCTTGACTCCCTCTTCTTTGTGGCAACCCTTGAGATATTGGAACACTGCTATCATTGTCACCCTTAGTCCTTTTCATTAAACTAGACATACCTAATTCCAGCAACCATTATTTATATGTTTTGATGATGAGCTGGAGAAGGGGGGACAGTACTGCCCCAAGAATGTTGAATGTTGATTTTATTTATATGCCTTCTTATTTATATAAGAAGAAACTTGCTTTGGTTTAGAAGACATTATGGAGGCAGCAAAAGGATGAAACTCATTTTTGCTGTCCTGTAGACATTAGTTTGCCTTTTTAACTCAAACATATATTTTAATGAACTTACATGGCTACTATACAAGTCCAGAAAAAGCCATAGCCATTAGCATGTTTTCCACATTTGGGGTGTGTGTGTGTGATTTGCCACTTTCCCTGAAGTTGCCAGTTTCAATCATAGTTGTCGAGCAATTCGTTTCAGTTCTCCTGATCCCTAGGATCTAGTGGTTTCACAATTTCACTCCTGCCAGCTTCTCTATTGACTTTGCTGGAAGCTGGCAAGGGTTGCAAATGGTGATCGTGTGACCCACAAGACACTGCAACCATCCTAATTGCAACCTGCTTGCCAAAAGCATGAATTGCAACTACAGGAAAGTTGTAATGGCCACAAGGTTGAGGTTGTATTTATTTAGTGCTGCTCAAAAAACATCTTTGACCACTACCAGCTTCTTTATAGACTAGCAGAAATCAGAAAGAATAAATATTTCAGAATGAAAATACTCCTCTCCATGCTAATAGGGCAGAGTGTGAAGGTGCATGTCTTCAATTATGTGCAATTTTCTGCCCTATTAGCCAGAGTACATCTGTCCAGTTGAATGTGCTTTCCTGCTAGCCTTACATAACTGTGTGTATAGCCTTTCAGAAGTAACCTTTTATTTAATTATATTTTAAGTACCTAGCCGTTTTGTCCTATTAAACATTCTGTGTGCTTTCATGGTTGGTATGCATTTTTACTGATGGAAATTGGTCAAATAATTATTAGTTTATCCATGTTGTAGGGTTGCTAGGAAGCCCCTCACAACAGCTGACTAGTTTAATGTTCTGGCATGGTAGAAGAAACAGCTGATGGAAACATGGGGTGGGGGGAGACACACTGAAGCATTTGTTTAGAAATGTTCTTCTGTTATAGTAAGGCTCCATTTATAAATGATTGATGATTGCCATAAATGTGTTACAGACATAAGCAATGTGCCTTACAAAATGGCTGTAATTGATGTGCTGACCTTTTAAAATCAATAACACATGATTAATATTACATTAAATTATTTTTCATGCTTTGCAGATATTTAAGAAAATTGACTTTGGTGTCCTAGATACTCTGTATCTATAGGTCCACAGTATAAAGTCATTATAACCACTGACTTACGGAGTATTGAAGAACAAGAAAAGTACATAAACAGGCTGTGTTATTCTGGAATCCCAGCTCTTAACAAGATGCTTTTAAGCATTACCACTGATGATAACAAGCTGTTCTTGAGCCTAGGCTGCCACATGCTGCTTCCCATCTTCTCTCCCTTTATTTTTGGACTCTGAGAAATGTGGGCCAGTAACTATATCACTAACAGGAAGTTTTGGATTACAAATAGATCAGGTCCTGGACTTGCAAAGTCCCTTCCTAATGACACTTCAATACTCCATCATGAAGCAAGGGATGTGGACTTTGCTAATCCCTGGATGAGGAGGGTGCATTCCACAGGCAATCCAAACCTCAATGCTGAAAGAAAGCTCTTTGCATTGCTGTTTGCAATTTGAAAATAGTTTAAACTTTATGCTTTCTTAAACAGAGTGAGGATAAGAACACAATTGTCAGCAAAGCAAAGAATGGCCAAAGGTATCCAATACAAGACTATTTTGTTAATGATTCTTAAGGTGTTTTTTTTTAAAGCTGGATGTTTTGCCTTCTGTATTCTAGGAGTGCAAAACAGATAACCATGAGTAATATACATTGGGCAATGTATCTAAGAGGGCATGGCATTGGAAGAAGGCATTAGACTAGGAGAAACGGTATATTTTTCATTGAAAAAACATTCAAATTTGCTGCTATTTTATACTGCATATTGTAAAATGCTAGAAAACACAAGAATGCCTGCATTCAACTCAGGACACTCTCCATACAAGGATTCCGCACATGTTTCAAACCTGGTGCTGAATCTCTGTGATCCTTCAACATTGACAGTGATTGACAGATGAGTCAACTTACTTCTAGCTGTGCTTTGGCAGGAAGCACTCTTAAAGCAAGTTTGTTTTTTATTTGTTGCTTGACTGGAACTCTAGGAGAACTTACGGCAGTTAGTTTCTCAGGGGAGAAACACTTGCATCACCCCATCTTCCAGCTCAATGCATCCACTCTCTCGCTTTCCCACAGAAGATCAGTATCCACCACAGTATCTTGCCAAGGTTCTCTTTGAAAAGCAGTAAAACGATAATTCTTTGGCAGATTGCATTCCCTTCCCAGAGATGGCACTTTTAAATTTTTTAGAAATTACAGGCAAATGCAGTTGCCCCTGAGATCCAATCCCCAGAGGCCTTGGCTTTTATTTCAGCACTTTGTTCTTTTATATGCATTTTTGTTGGTTCCCAAAACTATTTGATTAAGATATAAGTTATTTAAATAAATAAATGAAAGTGAAAATGGGGGTAAGAAATGCAAAGTGCAAACTATAGTAATGTGAAAGTGCTCGAAAACAGACATTATTCTGGTATGGTAACTTTAAGAAGCTTGTGGAGAAATGTAACATCGACACCACTTATAATAATTGTGGAGAGGCACAATATAAGGAGTACAGTTCAAATCTATAAGTTCTGGTGTTAAGAATTCTTGAAAATTGACTGTACTTTATAAAAGGCTTCCTTTCCTTCCCTTTCTTCCTTTTATAGGATGCATCCATTGCACATAGATTCCATTTGATGAGGGAAAAGCATCCTGAAAAATTCAATAGCAGGTAAATATCAGCCTTTTCCCCCTCACACAATTCTTTTTTCTTTTGTACTAGTTATGAGGTTTCTATAATCAGACCAAATTACTTGCTTAAGCCTCCCCTAGTCTGTGCGCCCTTTATCTAAATGTGTGGGCTTTGATTCAGTTGGCGTGGACCACATGTCTGGAAAGTGGGGAAAGCTGGTTTAGTTTTTTGTTTTTTACTCAAACATGGACAAATTCCAGATCCAGGATCTACTCATAGTTTACCTTGGCCTCAAAAGTTTGTAATTTATCTATTAATTAGGAACCAAGACAAAAAAATTGCAGGTATCAGAAGCAGGTTTTAAATTGCATTGGTAATCTTTTCAGTTGGAGGGTGAAATTAAAAATGCAAAGCAATGGAATCAATCAATTACTAAATCATTGTTTTAGAACTCTGAGATCCAGGAACTCAAAAGCCATATCCATAAAATTGAAAAGTCTGGACCTAGGAACTTGTCCTGGGTTCTAGAACTGATAGCACTTACACCCTTCCATATAAAGATCCAATCCTAATCATCCCAAGGCTTTTTCTTAAGAAATATAATCTAGGTGAAGAGAAGTCATATTGTTGCTATTGTTATTGAACAATTAGGAATCAACAAGAGAGAGAGGGAGGGGGAACATGAATATCCCTAAAACAGATGAAAACGGCTGTCAATTTGAGACATTATTCTACTGAAACTGCTTTAATCATTGAATTTTCCATTAGGACAAACAATTGATGCCTGAGCTACTGCACCCAAAGCTATCTCATTTTTATTCCCCTTACCAGAAGACTTTTACTCTCAGCATAACTGCTAAGGCAACAGCCCATACATTTTATACACCCCAATGCTTATGACTGCCTGATCAGAATGGAACACCCTTTAGTGGAAATCAATGTCTGATAGTGTAAAATATTTTATTGTACTTACAACCTGACATTTTGACCATTTTTTTTTTGGCCATTGCAGAGCTATATTTGAGCCTTAGGTGGGCAAACTTCTAGTTTTAAAAAGCCCTATACTCTATAGAGTTGCTTGGCAGGAAGAAATAAACAAGGGGAATGGTGCATGTCATAGAAATAGCAATTTATGTCATATTGTCCACCTGTTAAGAATCAGCCCACACATAGGCTAAGGCTTGCATATGTACATGTTTCATTCATTTTTAACAATTTACAAGAATAAACATGTAAAAATTCTAGCTTTTACTATTGATTAAAGTGAATGATGATATTGGTTCTCTTGAGTTATGCCATATCTTACTGTCTGGGTCAGAGATGGGTCTCTTGGGGAAGAAATTGTGGATCTGAAATGATGAGAGCTGCTGAATCCTAACTGTATAACAATTATAACAAAATAAGGATTTCCCTCCCCAATCTCAGAGGAAAATATAGGAGGGGTTTTTTTGGACAAGTTTGATTTTGACAGCGATCACAACTCTTAGCACAGATCCACATTTTCTGCTTGGTCCAGTGCCAATATAGGCCTGTTTCCTGCATGCAGATATGGATGACTTTGGCTGCCTCCTACTCCCAGCCACCTGCAAATGCACTTCACAGCCATGTTTTCTAGCTTCAGTTTAAAACTGCTGTTTTGCAACCTGAGCCACATTAAGCTCTTCAGAGCAGATGGTCTCCAGTGACTTCTTCCATTCTACTAGCAGACCCAGCACAGATTAGGTGTAGTACCTGGCACATCCCTTTCCTTCTGGGGCTGATTCCTGCCCTGGATGGCCATTTTGCCCTTGGTTGTTAGCTGCTGGTCAACAGATGCTGTTCTTGTTACAATCTTATGATTGATCCAGAAATGGCATATTAAGTCAGTCAGCTATCTTCAACCTAGGAAGCTCATGCTCCATGCAGCCTTTCTTTCGTTCAGTGGGCAGTTTTCTTATTTTTGCCTGGTTTGGTGGAACCTTCTCTTCTTGCTTTCTCACCTGTGCCACCCTTTGCCCTCCTGTGCCCTCCGGTCATCGGTGAAGCGCCCTCACTTTTGCAAAGTTTCTCTTCCTTTCCTGTTTTTTTTCTTTTACATATTTAAGATGCAACGTAAGAACTTTTCTACTTTGTTTACATAAATCTGAACAATTCCTCCTTGCTAAAAAAAAAATTCCCATAAATTGAACAAAATAATGGAAGGACGACCAATTTGTATTCATTGATTGATTGATTGATTGATTGATTGTCTGTTTGCCCATTTGAGCCACTGTTTTGCTTCTGACTGAGGTTTTACTCCACATCCAACTGGATTGATTGTCAATCGGGGATAATGTCATGGCACTTGTCTTTAACATAAAAAAATATTAAGATATTACTGAAAGAAACGTATGTTATTTATATAAAATCCGAAGCCAAATCATCTCAAAACAATATACAGTATTCTAAAGATTTGGACACTCTAACATTTGGCAATTCTGGTTATTTTAGGTTTTGCTTGGAAAGCTCCTCGAATTTGGCTGTAGATCCAGCCCCATTCATTCACACTTCATAATTATATATAAATTCCAGAACCAACAGAAACAGGCAATAAAGGCAAAACAGGATATCAGGTTGGAACTAGTTCATGTTTCACATGTAGATTCATGAGAAATAGTCCTGGATTGCTTTCATTAAAAAAAAAAGCAAAACTCACTTACTAATGTCTATACAGGAGACATTCAGGAAAACTTTATAAAAAATTATCATATTCAAACATTTTTCTAAGAATTAATAGACCTTCAGCAAACAGTCTTCCTTTGGTATCCTTCCTTCTTTATCCTCTAATGCATCTTAAGGATAAACTAGAAAATAGAGAATGGAAACTGTAAAGGTAATCCCATGCTTCAACCATGCAAAATGAATCATGTTTGGCCTTTCAGATGTTGGATTATAATTTTGGCTGGATATAGGGCAAACAGTTGATTTGTATGGCATGTATGCACATATATGACATGCATATTTACAAATCAGCCTAATATGAGTTTAGATAATCTCATAAGCTGTTTTGCACAAGTATGCACTCTGATATTTATTGTCAAGAGAGATAATTAGCTTCTCTCACTCTTCATATGCCTTCAATATTTCACAGATTTAAAAATAAAAATAAAAATAAAGATTTGCTACCTGTGATAATTCTGGTGCGTTTACATATTTATAATCCAAAGGAATTGAATCAAAGCATTCAGAAGCATTTTCAGGTGTCTAGGACAGAGGTTCCCAAACTTGGCAACTTTAAGACTTGTGGACTTCAACTTCCTGGCTGGAGAATTCTGGGAGTTGAAGTCCATAAGTCTTAAAGTTGCCAAGTTTGGGAACCACTGGTCTAGGAAATAGGCAGCATAAATAGTTCATAGGAATAAAAAACGTGAAATAAATATATCTGAAAATCCAGTGTAATGTGTTCACCAGGTTGGATTTTGTTTAACCGGTTGACAGTTGGGGGTACTGTATTATAGAAGCTTTGAAACTTTATAGCACTGTTCAAACATCAGAAGGACTGTCACATAGAGTTGAACAAGATAAGATATAATTAATTATAACTTATTAATTCATTCATTCATTTTCAATCAGTATGTGCAGTTCAGAACTTGGAAGATAGCTGATAGAAATCTTGGAAGTATTATGGACTCAAATAGCAATTAACTTATTCACTATTTTTTTTATCACATTCTTTCTTCGCTACAAAATTTTTGGACTTCTTCCAGCTTTCTAACCTCTTATAAAGTCCTTGTCATTCCCTTCTACGTTAATCAAATATTTACCTTATTATGCCTTCCTGACACTTATTTGTGGCCTACACTGGTTAACCATCGACTTTCTCCAAAACCCATGAACAGTATGTACAGTTTTGGTCCAGCAGTAAAAATAAAGCATGTGGAATAAGCACATTAAGTAGACAAGATTGTTCTACTTGTTCATTTTGCAAAGTTGGAAACCTAGGATTCTTTGGAAGGTTTTCAAAGGATCCTTAGTGTGGAAACCTTACTCATACACTTTCCTTGCATAGGTAGGATTCCAGATGACATCCTTGAGAAGAGAAAATGGGCTGTGCACAACCAAGGAAATAGAGTAGCGTACATGGATTGTCAAATGCGTAATGTGGCTTCACTCTGAATAGTGAGATGATATACTACATTTTCAAATGCCTTGAGAAGTTGAAAAACATAATCTGAGAATTTCTGGAATAGAGTCATGTAAACTGCTGAGCAAAAACACCAAGCTGTCTTATGTCACTGTTAACGTTTAAAAATTTCTGTTGTTTAATTTGATATATATTCCATTAGGTGGGATGAACACTTTGACTCTTTTCCTGACAGAGCTGAAAGCAGGCTGCCTTCCTAAAAAAAAATACCAGCCAACGGCTGTGTCACCTTGCTATTCAAGGAAGTGTGTTCCAACAGGGCACGGTACAGTGAGCTGTGTACAATACCTCAAGACTTCCCTATTTAGTTCTGGAGATGATTTTACACCTACAGGTGGCTAGGTGCCAAACAGCTGCTGTTCCTGTCTTTATAGTATTACGCCAGTCTTTAAACCTTTGGATGGTTTCTGAGGATCTGGTTGAAAAATTTTCATGCAAGGAATAGCGCACACAAGTAGAGGCACTTCCTGTAAACAAACTCTATTAAATTACCATGTTCCTTAGACAGCATTGAAGTCATCTTAGGCCAAAGAGGGACCACCCAATATGTATTAGAAAAGGAGGGTGGATGCAGGCATATTTCTGTCCTAAATTATGAAGGGTCATACTGCCTTCTCAGATTGAAGTAAAAATGGTTATCCTTCTAAACTGCCTGCTACCACCACTTACTCTTGATTTCTACCATCAAAATCAAAAATAATCATGTTAGAAATACTGAATTGAGAAAGGATCTAATTTACTCAACAGGCTTTACAAAGCTGTTTTAGTATATTTTTTTATTTTAAATTGTACATTTTTTAAAAAAAATCTGTCTTTGTGGAAAGATGCTTTCTCTGAATTATTTTAAATTGAAACTAGAATGAGGCAGCTTAGTTGACTCTGCTCCAAAGGCATAATTGGCTATGATTATATGCAAGTAAGGAAAAAAAGAAGCTGCTTCAGAATTTCTGTATGTTAAAAATATTAGTGTAGTAGATTGTTATAGCCAAGAAATAGGCTTTCATAGAAAATAAAAACAAGATTTGACAGACTTAGGTCAGGGATTCTCATATAATGGATTCCCCCCACCACCACATGTACATATATGTGATTTCATGAACAAGATTAAGGAGGATTACAATTTATGGGTACCCAGAAGGTTGAAAGACAGCATAGCATCTACAATGGCAAAGGAAGATCCTGCAAGAATAGAGGATAGTATGAGCCAAGTACAGGCAGGCAAAGCATGCCATTTTATGGGTGTAGCCTGACCAGCTATTGTGCAACAGGGGCTGGCTGCCTTTCCTAAGAGCAAGGCTTGTAGCAGCAGCAGCTTTCCCATCAGTCACCTTCCTTCCAATATAAGAAGACATTCAGTTTCTGTCATCAACAGTCAGCTGACTGAAGATAATGAGAGTTGGATCGTGGATTTATGGTGTCACACTGCCTATTTTGAAACTGGCTTTAGGCTGATTGTGAGATATTGGGGACTGAAAACTTGTGGAAGCATCCTTATTCTTGTTTACTTTCTATAACCTCTTCGGACTGTTAAAATATGGGATAAATCCTGTGATACAAACAATATGTATGCCTGTGAAATGCTTAAATGTATCAATATGGCGTCTCATCCGGAGTTGAAATTTGGTTTTGAACATAGCAGCTATTTCTATTAAGAAAAGATAGTTCTGTCTTCAGAGTTCACAAACAAAACAGCAACCTTAAGGCAAAAAATATTTTTAAAATTAATTTTTGAAGCCCTAATGACACCTTGACATCAGAGTAAAGTATTTGGCCAGGTGGGATTAAATAATTTTTGCGGTGTAAAACCAACTGTCTCTCTTGACTGAACAGACGAAAATGTCTTATTTATTTCCTCTTTGTTTTTCCAGTTTCTGCTAAAACCTGTGGGAATATGTTACTGAAGATTTATCTCGATTAATTGTCAGTTAGGAGATTTTTACATTTTGTTAACCTTGTAACTGCAGATGGAAATTTTCTCCTAAATAAATTTTATTGAAAAGAAGGGAAACATGTAAAAAAATAATTGGTGAACTGAAATATTCCATCACTTAGTGCTGTTGTGATGTAATTCCATAAGTTGCCTAATTTTCTAGGATAATTATTTTACTCTATCATTTCCCAGTCATACTCTGGTAGCTCATATTAGACTGTAAACTTTGTGGTTGCTAGCAAGACAGCATGTATAGATAAAGTATCATGTGAATATATCACTCCAGAATGCTCTTCCTTTTTTGTTTTTCGATGTCAGAATGAAGAATAAATTGTGGTATTTTGAATTCGGCACAACAGAAACATTTTCAGCCACTTGCAAGAAACTTCACGACTATGTAGAGATTGAGGTGAGTCTCCCCAGACCCTCAAAGTCTTAATTTTCTGTAGAAGGTGTGTTATGATTAGGTCAATGATTTATTAGAAATGTGTTCTTGTATTTCATTAAAACATTAAACATACTGTAGACTATTATACATTCTAGAAAAGTCAGGTTCAAGCTTGTAGAGTAAGAATTTCCATGGTTTATTGGAAAATTATTCCTGGCAAATTTATGGTTTATTTTTCCCTCCTTCTTTAACTTCAGACGGCATTCCATCTCTGGAGTCATTAAAACTTTGGTCAAAAAATTAGGCTCTGTGTTGCTTACAGATTAGAATTAAAAAAAATTAAAATGATTTAATTTAATAGATACATTGAAAAGCTCAAGCCGTGGTGTTCAATGAATATATTTTATTCATGAGTAGATTTGCCACAGTTTATGGCAATAATTGACTCAAAAGACTAGCATTGGTCTAGTTTTTAGGTAACCAACATAGCACTATCCCTGGAGCTGGACGTGTTTTTCTCTGTTTGCTCTGATACTATTAAACCCAGACACACCCATCAAGACAGTATCTGTGGGACCTTTCCATTCTTTCAAGAAATATTTTAGTTTTTGAAAATAATACCAATTCCAATACAAGAATATCCCCCCCCCCCAATTAAAAAACACCCTTCAGTATCTCCTCCAGTGATTTTAAAATTTGGATCACAAATAATAGAAAATTCACAAATATATATTTATGGACATCCCACTAACTGACTTTTAGCTGACAGTTTAGTAGAACAGTGTAGGGGGGAGAGGGGGAGCAGGAGGAAGAAGAGGAGGAAGAGCAGCAGGAGGAGGTGGGAAAAAGAAATGCCACCCTATCTGCCATTCTACTGAAGAGTGCCACTTAAAGAGAAAGGGCCTCTGTGCTGTCCTAATTGCCCCTGGAGTGCTGGATATACAAGAGAGAAAATAATAGGAAGATGCGGGGGCACTGGCCATTTTTCCAAATCAATGATTAGCAGAATCCAAAGTGCAGGATGGAGACCGGAGAAAGCTTCACCAAAAGATTTGCCTGAAGACACAATGCCAGAAAACACTTTTTTTTTTTTTGGTTTGAGGTTTATTACTTTCTCAGCCTTCACAATACTCATCTCTTTATTTTTTAGTGTTCGGCTCATGACCTTGATTCTGACTCACAATGATACGATCAAATAAGATTCTAAATTCAATGCATCTGAATGCTTTCCAATTAACAATATCTCTCCTGTGGTCCCCGCATTGTTAGCATATCGACAGAAGGGTTTTTTTCCCCCACCACAAACAGCTGGCAGCTGCAGCTGAGCTTTTAGTGACATCTCCATCCACTGAAACATTTTAAGATGTTTTGCAGGGAAAGAGTAGGTACATTTATAGTTGAGAAAGCTTCTGTTTGGAAACAGATGTCCAAAACACAGTTCAGTGGAAGGAAAAAAAATTATAAATGTGAAGCAGTATTTTTTTTAAATGTACAGCGTATTCCTGTTTTATGGATTCCCTTTAAATATATTTGTTGGCATGGACATCTGGGTGTTTCATCTTTGAAGCCAGTTTTGGGAGAACAGAATTATGCCCTTCTAGGTACACTTCAGGGCTCGACTAAATTTAAGTTTGTTGTGAATGTTTGTAAATTCTGTGATTGCCTACTACCACCTTCCAGCTACATGGAAACAGCGTCTAATTAGGAAATGTGTGGTTCACCAGTAGTTACTAAGAAGTCAATCGTTTCATAGTTTGTATTTGAGATTTTATGTGGTGTGTATTTTCCATAACCATTTCCACTCCTCAACCTCATCCAAACCATCCCCTTTTTAAGGACTGAGAGCTATACTTTCCATACCTGTAGTCTCAAAACATAAATGCAATGTTTGTTAATTATTCACTAAAACTAGAAAATGGAATTGTCGGTCAAAGCCCATGCCTTGCCATGCTTCTTCAGTCTGCTGTGATCACCTCCCTTCAGTTCCTTATGACAAGTGAGGACAGGCATCTTCACTCAAGGGCTGACACGGAGACAGATCCCATCAGCTGTCATTCTCCAAGAAATCATTTCAGAAGATCCCAGGCTCAGTTGGCTTCTCTAATTGCTTCCTAGTTGTGTAAATGATCTTGATTCTACTATCTTTGCTGTGACTATAGTTTTGCATGCCAACATGACCACAAATCTGGATATGGATAGCTTTAAGAAACACGTTGTATTTCCAGACCACACCAAAAAGATGCCAAGTGGACATACCACCCAGAGTTCATTGCTGATTTCTTCATGCATCTCTTTCTATTCCCCATTCCTATTTTCACAGTATCTTCAAAAATGCCAGTGAAAGAGATATAAGCCTATCCACTCCAACCTGCTCTTTTTCCTTTCATTCATCTAACATGACCAAGGCTTGTGGATCTGGATAATTATTTCATATTCTTTGTAGACTATAATTATGTTCAAAAGGATTCTTCTTTTAGCCTCTATTGATGCTGGTGCATGCTTAAGACATCTACTCTTATCTACTCTCCTTTTCTAAGGTTACGCGCAGCGATGGCCTTTTGATTTTATTGCAGCCAGCACCTTGTGGCTAATAATAGCCAGGGAAGAAGAGAAAAGCTTTTTAGAGGAAATTGGAACTCATCCAAACCCAGATCAGGAATAAGTTTCAGTTGATTGCTGTCAAAAAGAGTAAATGACATAACATATACTTCTTCTCAGCTGTCTCAGATGTTTTAGCTGGCTACATCCCTTGCTCATTCATCACTCCCCAGCTTTCTTCCTTCCAGCACGAGTCTATCCTATCCCTTTGAGCACAGGATGTTTAAATAAAAAAGAAGCAGCAAGGAAAGAAATTCTTGGTATCTCTGAAGAGCTTTTTCCATTGTCCAGCTATTCTTAAAATATGAGAAGGTTTGTGTTTAGTTTGGTATGGTATTTCAGCAAACACTACTATTACCTCCCACGTCCAGTTCACCTAGTACATCTATAAAATAGATGCAGACTTAAAATGGTATTTGGCATTTTCCCCTAGCCATCAATTGCTGAGATTGTATTTAGTCTGTGAATCAGTGCAACTCCTAAAACCTTCCCATGCGGATTCATGCCTGAGAGGTTGAAGTCAGACATGGAATATTCAGATAGCATATTTTTCCAGAAACATTTCAAACAAACTAAGCAGGCAAATGATTACTCCTTGGGTTCAAAACAGCTTAGAACCACAAATGACTTCAGTTTGTGATTTAGTCAAGCAGCATGTTAAATAATGAAATAAAAGTGAACATTGTTTCTTTGAGCAGTAATTAGGAGTACCTTCTATATATCTAGGATGAGCAGGTAGGATAAAGCTGCTGTCGCAAATAGCCCTGACAGTGATATAATGTTTCCAATATCATTAGGCGGCTGAATAGCAGTTGCCAAGAACACGTCATCAGCATTATTGGATTTCAGTCTGTTTGTGAGCTTTCCATGGGTCCTTGGTTGGGAACAGAATGCTACACACAAAAGGGTTTACACTGATCCACTATTACTTTTATTGTACTTGCTTTGGGCTTAGCACCGATAGAGAAGACATGAGAAAATACTTTAGCTGTATTTGTTCAACCTTTGACAGATTCCACATTGCACAACAATTCATCTGTTATTAAAAAACAACAACTCCTAAATGTATGCCCTCCCAGGATTTGCTGAAAAATACTGTTGTGTGAAAAAAATAGCTTAGTTTCTCAGTCCTGGATCTTTCTGCAAATATGTTCAGGATATTGTAATTCGAGGGCTGCAAAGTGTTAATCTAACAGCATTTTAAGGTGAAAGCAACAGTTTGCCCTCCTTTTGGCTCCAGGCATCTGTCATGAGCACAGGAGAAATGGCAGTTTTGTTTTGGAAATTGGCATCAGTTACGGTTGTAGTCGCTTAGAAATAAAGTTGTTTTTTTGCCCAGCTGCAAATGTCTACTTCCAGTCTTCCTGCCAACAGCCCATCAGCTGCCCCTTCTCAAAGAGGCCATTGTACCACATTGGCACAGAGACAAAGCCGGGTTAAAGAGGAAAACACAGTTGCTGGCCATTAGATGCTCATTCCTCTGCTGGGTGAATATATGGCGTCCATATCACCTTCTACAGCCTGCCAGAATTTTGCTACCCAGACAGCACAGGAGAGGCCCATTGGCAATGTCCCCAAGCAAAACAACGAAGCAGAAGTGAGCACAGACCAAAGAACAGCACTTGCAACCCTTAGATAAATTTCAAAGGACTTGTGTGCAGACCAAAATAATTGTTTTTCAATTATAGCTTTTGCCAAACATGTTATTATGTTGCTTTAGATTGCTCTTTACCAAAAAAAAAACTCTATTTACACCTGGTTTCCAATAATTTCTAGTTTCAGTGAGCGGGAGAAGGGGCAACCACACAGCTAAATGGATTCACATATGAAGCTTGACAGTTTTTAAATATGATATAAATTATTCTTTGTGTGTTCACCTGACTATTAGTAAACTTTTTTGTTTCTGCTACCCACAGCTGCTTGTAAAATGGTCACATTATTTACAGTCTTCATGCTCTGCTTTAAACACTGGACTACTGCAATGCGCTCTACATGGGGCAGCCCTTGAAGAGTATTCGGAGACTTCAACTCGTCCAGAATGCAGC